TTTGATGTAAAATTTATCTAGATAGAGTAGAAAATGAGCGAGTGAGTTGAAGCTGTTCGGCATGAGTGAAATGTTTGAAAACGCTAGAGTGGCACACTCTAGCTGCTGAACATTCCGTCCATAGACTTCCATTATAAATTTGAAAATCTGTAAAAATTGTTTAAAAGTTTGAAGCTTCACTAAAGCAAAACTGTAAAAGTTAGCTGAAAGCCGAGTTAAACAGTAATAGCAGAAAGACACAGAAACATTTTAAAAGTTGTATGGTGTTTCTAGCTGAAAGTATGCTGAAGTAGTTAAAGGTCAAAGAAGATGAAGCTTTAGCTGAAGTTTTCTGAAATCTAAGAATTCTACATGCATTTCAATGGGACAAAAAAATCGCAGAAAAAGCTGAATATCGCGAAAACTACAAAAAATATCTTTACCAAAAGACATAGAAGAATTCTCCTGAACAAGCTGAACGTTTTGATACCAAAATTGTTGAAATCGGTTGAAAACGGCGGGACTAGTTAGAGTCAGAAAAATTTAAAGTGAACAACAATAAGTGGGAATGCATAAGCATTCCCACTTGATTAGTAAAGGCATCAGGTGGGCTTTATTCTTTCAACATTTCCTTAATGTTGTCTTTTTTTTATTCTTTTTATGGTTAAATAAACATTTAAAGAAAATTCACCAATAATCTCCTTTTTAAAAGCATTATGTTGGAACTATTTTTAAATTTTCAGCAATTAGATTGACCCAAAGAGCAACTTTAGAGCAGGATGTGGTTTGAGTAGCACCAGGCCTGACAAAGGATAAATATGTAAAAATATTAAATCTATTGATTAATTTTCCGATTACTCCTAAAAGATACTTTCAGTAAATAAGAATTTCTAAATAAACAACTGTTTGCTAAGTAGAAACAGACTTTTTAAAAATGAAATGAAAGTGCAAAAATTAATAAAATACTTATATTTTATTCATAAAATATTCATAATGTTTAAGTACTTATACTTAAACATGTGTATCCAAAACTATTTTATGTTAAATAGCAAATTTTTATTGTTTTGTATCTTAGTCTTAATTACTGCTATCAGTGCGTCATTATTCCAACAAATGCCAATTTTTAGTCTGTCGACTGTAATATTCGCAAATTTGATTATTTTAATAATCGATTAATTACTATTGATTTAATTCCTCAACATGGTTTGAAGTAAATGTGACTTAAAACGGATCCTTTATGCTTGTAGTAAATTAAAATGAACTAGGGATGCACGATATAATCGGCCCCCTATCGGTATCAGCCTGTTTCTTAAGTCTAAAAAAAAAACTTCTTCTTCTTTCTCAAAAACTTATTTTTTACAGACTTAAAAACTTCTAAAGACGAGGGAAAAAATATTGATACATTAAAATATCCCAATATCTTCATATGCTGATATATTGCCATTTAAAAACACCATATCAATCTCTTTTACTAATGAAATATTGCTATATGTCATCGTTATGCTACGAAATCCCCCGAAAATTCACGAAATGTTGCCATTTTTTTATATGTTGATATATTGACGCGGTATCGATCTATTTTACTAACAAAATATCACGAGAGTTTGTAACAGAACGATGAAATTTCACGAGATTTTGAAAGTAAAATAGATCGATACCGCGTTTTTAAAAATCTATTTGATATCAGCATATGAAAATATATTTGAGTATATTATTTTTCAAAGTGTCAGAAATGGATAACAAAACTGCTATTTTCAATGACTACTTATTTTTGTCCAGCTTTAACATCGGTATCGATATCGGTTATCGGCTACATGAGTTTTAAAATATCGGCATATCGGATATCGGCCAAAATCCCAATATCGTGCATCCCTAAAAAGAACATTACACTAAGATGATATAAACTGTTTCAAATAATTGGAAACTCTTTCTGGCATTTTCTGTGAGCGGTCAGATGTAGTCGGTTCATCGTGGATATGAGCGTAGAGGAATTGACATAGAACGGTGGCGCTAATGCTAACCAATAGTATCAACCCACAACAAGACACTTTGCAGAGACAGTGGAATCAGATTATAGAGTTTATTCGCAGAAAGAAACCTCCAACAGAACCAGGATCGGTGTGAGTGACCTTCTTCCAAGGTCGAGTGGGGTTCAAGGAGACAGATGCAGCCAATTAAAACGAACATAGGATCACTGATCTATAAATACTTTCTGCATCAGAGAAGATGAGGACAAACTAACCCAGTGGCTCTGTCTAGGAGGGAAACAGTTAAGCAGATTAACTCTGATCTAGTTTTCATGTCAAATGGATGAAAGATCAGAGTCACGTTAAAAGCTGAGCTCATAGCTGTTGGTGTCGATGGCAGCAGCCCAACTGATTCTGCTCTCCAAGATGGAGTCACAGCCAAAAAGAACCAGATGAAGGTACCATAAAGAGAAAAAGACGAGACAGCGCAAAGAGGGGAATGACCCTACAAATGCTGCAGGAGGAAAGAATACAGCATCGGCGTCGCCAGACCCCATTTACTGGGGCACGTGCCCTAGTATAAATGAGCTGTGCCCCAGTATAAATCTCATTAATATTTGCAACAGTATTAAATTTTTTTAATGCATCAATTTAGATAATTCCAACGGAAGGAGACGTATATTTCTACTCAAATGCGCAGCAAGTGTGTTGTTAACTCCAAATTGAGGATGTATTAGCGCCCCCACGTCAGCGCATGTCACTGCATGAACTGCAGGTAAATTAACGCGCTGCTCTTAACTGAGTTGGATGGGACACTGTGCGGCCGCGACGCATTTTTAGTTCTGGTAACCTTTCTTACCTGTCAATTTTATTATTTTCCCAGTGAAACCACATGATTTATAGGCTACTAACTGAATATGACTGCATTGGTTTGTAGATGGATATCAGGAAATTCCTCACACGAAGCAGAGACAGGGAAGCAGTAAAACAAGATGAGAGAGGGAGGTAAGAGCCCGAGATGAATTAGTGATTTAAGCTAAGCAGTTACATTAGGGACGTTATAAGCAATATGATAGATATTTACATAATTATAAATTTACGTTTTTTTAATGTTTGCTGTAGAGAATGAGAATGCAGGTGCTGGAGTAGGAAAGGGAGGAGGAGGCGAGACTGACAGGCAAGAGACAGGTGAAGGACAGGAGAGACAGGACCATGAAGGTGATGAGGGAGCAACAACCAGCGTCCACAAACAAGAAGGGGACATTAGTGACTTAGGGGGAAAGCATTATGGTCCTAAACAAGTAAAGTTGTCCCACTATCCCCAGCACAAATTTGGAGTAAAAAAAACGTTCATTTAATTCAAAATGGTTTGAGCTTTTCCTGGTTAAAAAAGAAAGCCTTGTCATCAAGGATATGCAGTGTTTTTTCAACTTGCTTAATAACATCATGTTCCCCACACTAACGCAGGTCATCCAGATCTCCCTCCCAATCCCAGTCTACAGCTGGAGGTGTGAAAGGTCATTCAGTGTGTTGAGAAGGATCCACACTTGGCTGAGGAGCACAATGGGACAAGACAGGCTCCATCATCTGGCTACTGTATTTTATCAGTTGAAAAGGAAGAACTTTCTAAGCTGAGTCACAAGTGATTGACCACTTTGCAAAAATGATAAATAGGAGGTACACTTTAATGCTCAAAAAATAAAAGGAAAACTTAACTCAGGATGAGTTAAACTTTCCCCCGAACTAAAACCCTGAAACCTAGGAATTAATGATTACTTCAGAATGTGTATAAGGAAACTTTTTATTTGTCAAAGTGAAAACTAGTGTGATTGTTTTACCAAAAATGGTAAAACAAAGCTTTGCTTTTGGTTTTGCTTTCAAACTGCCTTGTGAATGAAAGTAGTTTGGTTCAACATTTCATTTCCCCTTTAATCACCAACCGAATGAAACTGTTCATTCAGATGCTGCTGAAAGAAGAGTGAATCCAGCCTGAGTGATAAACCGTTTATTGTTTTAAAATAAACACAAAAGACCAGGATTTAAAATACAATGGTACCTTTATTTACTACAATCACAGTACTAACATTTTTTATACTGCAAAATAAACAGATAAAAGGGAAAGAGGGGTTTAAGTCGGTTTAAAGTCTGAGGAATGTTCGAGTTTTAACGCTTAATGCTGTTGATGCTGTTCTTTGAAATAGCAGCAGATAAATGTGAATAAACCCTGATGCAGAGATGTTAAATGCAGTCAAAGCAGTGAGTTTGAATTCTGAATGTGAGCAGACTTCTCCTGTAAAGTAACTTGATCTGCTTTAGAGAAGTAGGGAAAGCACCCATAGTTTCCCACTGGTCCTGGCCATCCCAGTCCAGTTTTGCTCTCACATCCTGCGTTTCGGTAGGGTTTTCAAAGCGGTGCGTCGGTGACGTTTTTTTCTGGTTTTCTCAGTGTGTTTGCTGTAAAAGGGAAGTGACTAAATGAATACTAGGGCAACTTTAAAGTTTGTTCTCTGTTCGCAGATCGCCTTACTTCTGCTGGAAAACGGAGCTGACCCAAATGCCACCGATAAGCTGGACTCCACCCCGCTGCACAGAGCGTCAGCCAAGGGGAACTACCGTCTCATCCAGCTGCTCATCAAGCAGAGCGCCTCAACCAACATCCAGGATTCACAGGGCAACACAGCACTGTATGTGCAGAAGCGTTTGTCTAATAATTAACATGGTGGCAGTTTATGGGGCAAAGCCTCACATCAGCTTTAATTCCAAGCCTCTCTGGATTCAGGAGGAATGAAATCCAAAAGTAGCTGACTCAGATTTATAGTTTTTTTGCTATTTAAGTTTTGCTTTTTCTTTATTCCTCTTTTCCAGCCATCTGGCATGTGATGAAGAACGAGTGGAAGCGGCCAAGTTGCTGGTAGAACATGGTGCCAGCATTTATATCGAGAACAAGGAGGAGAAGACCCCCATCCAGCTAGCCAAGGGTGGGTTGGGGAACCTTCTCCGTCGGATCGTGGAGGGCTGATGCTTTCACTGACCGGTCGATCCTGGTTTGTCCTGAACCCCTACCATCACGTTCCACTGAAGTCTGAGCTCCTCCTGGGCAGGCCTGCTGTTACTCTGTGTGATCGGCGCCATGTGAAAGAGGCCACGGTGTCAGAGGAATGCTCAGACTGTTCTGGCCTCATCACCTTCTCCCATTGGGGCTCTGAGACCAACATGGTGTGTTTGCTTTGAAAGAATAAATATAGAAGTGGAAAAACATCAGGTGGTTTCAAATATCTGGTTGGAATAAATTTGTTGTAATCCAAATAAAAATATGACTTTTGTATTTATTAAATCTGCATTCTACGGAAGAGGATTAGGGCCACTGAAAAAAAAAGGTAACTGATTTTTACATTTTATTTCAGTTTAGTATTAAAGTCTCCGAATTCTGACTTTAATCTCAGATAATTTTTTATTGTCAGAATTCAGAGAAAGTCAGAATTCGAATTCTGAGAAAAAAGTCAGAATTGTGAGATTAAAGTCAGAAGAAAAGTCAAGATTATGAGATTAAAGTCAGAATTCTGAGATTAAAGTCAGATTTCTGAGAAATGCTAAACTGAAATAAAATTTAAAAATCTTTCTTTTCTTTTTTTTCCAGTGGCCCTAATCCTCTTCCGTAGCTTTCATCCTCGTTGATTTCTAAAATATTTGATGATGGAGAGTCGCACCTGGAATTGTTCTCGGTGCATTAAGACGTTTAAGTAAAACTAAACTTAAGTTCAAATGTCATAATGCAGGTTTATTGGTTGTTCTCCAGGAACAAGCTCAGCATGGATTTTATTAAAGGAAAAGTCCGGTCAGCAAGGAATAACCGATGGATCAATATTTATACCTGAAACTAATACGTTTGCAGTGATTTAAGGGATTAAATACGTTTTTGGAGCTTGGGATGTCTGTAACGTGGTGGTGTGATGTCACCAATGGTTCCATTCAAAGTGCAGAGAATTGCATAATTGTATCTTCTTGGGTGGATTTAATAAACTGTCGCCGTATCCTGAACCTTTATCACGAGTTACTTCATATGGAGCCCACCCACATAATGTTGCTTATAGCGTTGGTCGGCCCCTTATGGGCCTATTGTTGTGTAGTTACACCATTACCACAGCCGTCTGAAAAAGACAATGTGAGGGTTTCCCTTTTACCCATTGATTGTTAATATTACTGTTTTCATTTTTTGAAGACCCTTTGAAGCAGTTCAGCCATAAAAGGCAGCTGTTATTTCTTTAATACAGTATAACAACACCAGATTGCTGCCAAACACCTGCTATTTTTGTTTAGAAAGCATAATTAGGGTTCCACATAATATTAGTCCTATTTAATGGACTATTTCTACTTCTAGAAATATAATAATAACAGAGGAACACTATTTGTATTGATTTTATTTTAAATACATTTCCAGAAAGTCCATAAGTAAATAAGTACAAACATTAGTGTTTTTTTTTTTTTTTTTGTAAGAGGTGCAGCTGCTGAGAATTATTTTTGTTTCATAACCGGTTTGGCTAGTGTCATTGCTATGTGTGCAAAGTAAAGCCAGGAAGGAACACTTAATTTTAATTGTATAAGTTTTTTTTATCAAGCTTGCTCTGGAGTTTTTCAGAGACTCCAGCAACATAAGGGATTGTGACGTTTTTGCGTTTAATTTTCTCACCGCTATCTTCTGCTGCGTGTCTTTTGGATTTCCTTTCTGATTTGATAAAAGCCCAGTTTGGGTATCCACAGTTTCGGAGAGCATCTCTGATGTGTTTCTGTTCTTTGTGCTTCCCTTCTGTTTTAGTAGGGACATGCTCAGCGCGATGTTGGAAGGTTCTGATGACTGAAAGTTTGTGGTCCAGTGGGTGGTGTGAGTCAAAAAGAAGGTATTGGTCTGTGCGAGTAGGTTTCCTATACTTGCACAGACCACCGAAACGGCCCATCAGTGAGTAAAATGCCATTCCTAGTTGTGCGGCTACTTCCGGTTTCTCTGCTGCCAGGGAACGCCCCTTTCTCCCACTTCCTCAAACCGTCAGTTTATATCAAGCAGCGTAGTTGGTTCGTGGTTCTCTGCTGTGGGGCGATAACAGCTGAACCAAAGGGAAACAACTAACTGAAGCTCAAAGGCGCAAAAAAAGGTAAATATTAAGATTTTGCAGCGGAACTCAACTGCGTAGCCGCGTGACCTAGTATCCAGCTAGCATAGCTAACCCAGCTAGCATCCGTTTGTAGCCGTAGTGGACAGTCTGGGGTTTTATTCACAGTATAAGGTGAAAGTCCAAACTGACAGCTTCTATTTTACACATTTCTATGAACCCTTATCAGATTTATTTGCTGCTTTGTTTCACTGAAGCCTAAATATTTAACTATTTCCCTTCAAATGGATCAAATCTTGGAAAAAAAGCGTCAATAAAGAGGTTTGCATAATGTGCAAAGTTCAGTTAAATAATAACTCAGTGATCTTTAACATCTTCCATTCAGTCTTTACACTAGTCTGTTAGTAATGTGTAGATTTACTACCACATGGTGGAAAAGTACCTTTGCTGTACTTTCATTTTGAGAAAAAGCAGAGCTGATCTAATATCTGTAGATCTTAGTAGGCGTTGCGGTTCTGCCTTGATCAGCCTCCTGGTCTGATCTGATCTTGGCTTCCTTAGGAATGTCATCACGTGTGCAGAGCAAGAGGATCACAGGGTGTTCTGGTCAATAAAACAAACACGCTTGTAAAAGTAGCTCCACACCAAGAAAACACAGATCAATAATGATCAGATTCAGAGTGGGTCAAAGCTATTTAAATTACTATACGTAATAAGCAGGAAAAATGATAAATGTGAAGGATGTGGAGAAAAGGAAAATATAGAACACATACTGATGAACTGTAAAACTTATAAACATGAAAGGGAGAAATTTAGAAGAATGGTTGGAAGGACAGACTAAGAATGGAGTCTTAAAGGAATATTGGGAAATGAAGGAAATATAAAGGACCAGGCTGTATATCTGGATGAGCTGATGGCGCATGTGCAGGGCGGGTCGTGCTTCCAGGGCGGATCTGGTAGTGACAGCCCGTTTTCAGGAGATTAGATCTTCACATCAAGGAGTGGAGTTCATTGCGTTCTTAATGTATGACAAACAATATATTCTGAATTCCACCCTGCGGCTGTCATTGAATTATGTTGTATTCTTGTTCAGATCTGTCCACCCAACTCTTTCTTTGCTCTATTATGTGTGAAAAATGTAGAATGACCCAGGAATGCATTAAAACTGGGATGAGGATGAAAGAGAGTGGGTTAGCTTAGCTGGTCCCTGGGGGTCTGCTCTGGATGGGTCCTGCTGAAACAGAGGAACGGTTGGATCACAACACGGCCTCCACAATGTGTCCATAATGAGCTAGCTGGGAGCTAACGATGTAGCCAGTTCACTGCAGCAGTTTCTTCTGACACACGTGGCTCGGTCAGTCTGTGTGGAGAGCATTAGCATTCAGTTAAACTCTTAAAACCATCAGCAGGAAGCTTGTTTCAAACAAAACACAAACTATTCGGCCTAGTTCACCCGGGCAGAGCGACTATTAAGCATCAGATGGAAAGTCAGAAGGATGGATGTTACTGTGCTGTAGAAGTTCTCAGTCATCCGGGTCACAGTCATTCTAAAAAAGTTAAAAACAATCCACTGGACTTTGTTTCCAAGTTTGAAGACGTTTCTCTTCCATCCAGGAAGATTTTTTTTCACTTTAAAATGTCAGAAATAGCGTTGAGTTCCAGGCTTTATAGGGTGGACCCAAAACAAAGCCTTGTTTTGGCACAGAAAACATGCAAACTGAAACAGACGAACGGGTCCACCCCTTAGTAGTGGGCAGTAGTTGGGTTCCCTGTTAGCCTGTAATACCCGATACAGATATCTTAGAGACATAGACGGGTATGGGGCAGATACAGCACTGGGACTTGATCAACAGCCGATACCGCACCGTGACGTCACAAACCGGTAGGTGGCAGTAGTGTTGTTTGACAAACATGGATAGGGATGGGAATCGAAAACTGGTTCCTGTTCAGAACCGGTTCCGTATTTTCCGATTCCATGGCATCGTTTGGCAGCTCGCTGAATGATTCTTTTTTCGATTCCCGCAGCACCAGAGCCTAAAGCGCCGGCTCTGGGGAGCACGACTTACGTCACGTTTTTTACGCAAGTTGGAAGAACTATTCGAGGAGGAAGACAACGAGCTGCGGTCACTTTGTGAATCAAAGCCCCGTCTTTCCTTAGCCCAGAGGGTAGATCAGGAAATCCAGCTCTATAAAAGCTTGCCCTCCATCCCCTGCAGGGATAGCGCCACACTGTGGTGGTGGAATAAGCAAGATACGCTGCCCTTGCTATCTGGACTGGCTGAAAACTACCTCTGTGTGCAGGCTTCCTCCACCCCATCTGAGAGGGTGTTCTCCACGGCTGGAGACACCATAAGCCCTGAAAGATCCCGTATCCTTCCAGAAAAAGCAGATATGCTCATCTTTCTGCAAAGAACTGTTAATTTTCCCTACTACTGTTTTATAATTAGTATTTTTTGTTATTTAAAATAGGTTATTATCCCATCATTTGTTGTTAGACATTGTTGGTTATTAAGTTTGTTCTTGTATTCATTTTTCATTTAAACACAGATTTTACTCCAGTTTCACATTTCCTGTGGACATCTTGATCTTGTTGAGTTTGTAAGATTGTGCAATAGTTAAGTAAACAAAGTTGATGCTGATAATCAAACTGTTTGTTCTCTTTTTTTGCCCAAATTGGAATCGAAAAAAGAATCGACAAAGAATCGGATCGTTTCATAGAATCGAAAAGGGAATCGGAATCGTGAAAATCTTTTCAATTCCCAACCCTAAACATGGATGCCTCCAGTAAAGCACACTTAAATGAAAATTAGACTTAGTTAAAAACACTTATTTATTGAACCGTATGTAATAATTTCATATTTAAAGTATTTTCAGAAGTTTGGTTTCTGAATGAAAGCTGACTTCTCCTTTAAAGTAACTGGATCTGCTTTAAAGAAGTAGGGAAAGCACCCATAGTTTCCCACTGGTCCTGGCCATGCTAGTCTAGTTTTGCTCTCAAATCCTGCGTTTTGGTTGGGTTTTCAAAGCGGTGCGTCAGTGACATTTTTTGTGAAGGATGTGGAGAAAAGGAAAATATAGAACATGTACAGATGAACTGTAAAACTTATAAACATGAAAGGGAGAAATTTAGAAGAATGGTTGGAAGGACAGACCAAGAATGGAGTCTTAAAGGAATATTGGGAAATGAAGGAAATATAAAGGACCAGGCTGTATATCTGGATGAGCTGATGGCGCATGTGCAGGGCGGGTCGTGCTTCCGGGGCGGATCTGGTAGTGACAGCCCGTTTTCAAGAGATTAGATCTTCACATCAAGGATTGGAGTTCATTGCGTTCTTAATGTATGACAAACAATACATTCTGAATTCCACCCTGCGGCTGTCATTGAATCGTTGGCATGGTTTCTGTACAGCCACGCCTCCTCCTGAGTTTTCAGGACGGCATGTTCCTTTCAGAACAAAAGTATCCGTTTCACTGATATTATTTCTATCCGTTCTCCTGAGGAGGAACACAGGTTTCTATATCCTCCTTTTAAATCTAATTATTTCAGTTTTGGATCAGTAGATTAGAGAGTTCTGCTGTTTGACTGTCTCACTTAAAGGACCCATTTAAAGCAAAGAACAAAGCCTGTAACTTTAATCTCTGTTTTCTTTGCAGATATATTCTTGTTCAGATCTGTCCACCCAGCTGTTTCCTCGCTCCATTATGTGTGAAAATAGTGCATTGGAATCAGACGGCTGTGCCGATTTCTCACGGTTACAAAGCCGCATGGAATCCTTCCGGGGCTCCACTCTGGCTCAGCAGGTACCACCAGAACGACTAGCAAGGGCTGGTTTCTTCTTCACTGGCAATGCAGACCGCGTCCAGTGCTTCAGCTGCAACAGGACTGTGGAGAATTGGCATACAGGAGACACACCTGTACAAAGGCACAAGGAGGTAATTCAGTTTATTGGTAGAAATGGAAAAAATATCATTTTCTGTTCTTTTGTTATGCTGCTATAGGCTTAGACTGCTGGAGGACATAGGGACCCCTTTTTCATCATTCTGCTTCATTCTATCTCTATTCTCCCACTCTGCAGAATCTGTTAGTTCAATCTCTAACGTCCTGCTCTCTCTGCTTTTTCTCATAGTAGCTTCATCTGGTCTGTTCCTGTTTGGCTGTGACTCCATCCTGGAGAGAAATATCAGCTGTGCTGCTGCCATCAACACCTTTGTTTCTAGATGTTGGGGCTTGGCCTGTTTTCCAGTGTAGTCCTGTTTCTCTGACTGTGACTAACTGGATGTGCTCTCTTCATCCTCTGACATGGGAGCTGGCTCGGAGCTCGTCTGCCTGGCTGTGTGTTTCCTGGACGGGGCCGCCTGTGGAGCTGGTTGACAGTTGCCTTTTGTATCTATGCTTCTTTTTCTATGTCTGCTTCTGTCTCCTTGAACCCCAGTGGGCCTCAGCAGATGGCCGCTCACACTGAGCCTGGTTCTGCTGGAGGTTTCTTCCTGTTCAAGGGGAGTTTTTCCTCTCCACTGTCGCTACAAGCATGCTTAGCGTGAGGGATTGCTGAAGAGTCAATGAGTCGATGCAATCAGCTGGTTTTCCTTAGATATTAAACTTTGAATCAATCTGGCTGGATGATCTGGTGAACTGGAAAGTGACCTGAGATGACTTGATGTGAATTGGAGCTATAGAAATAAACTGAATAGAATTGAGTCGTTGTAGATTTTTAATTATATATTTCCTGTTTACACAGATTTCTCCATCCTGTACATTCCTCATGTGCTGCCACGGAAACAACTTGAACCCAAGATATGGTTCCCCCATCATCAATGGTTCCATCTACGACGAAGCTGCAGAAGACATGCAGTATCGCTTGTCTACTGGAGAAGTAGTTGATGAGACCCTCTACCCCAAGGCCCCCCACATGAAGAGCGAAGAAGCTCGTCTCCAGACCTTCTCTCCCTCTTGGCCCTCTAATTCACCCGTAACACCCAGAGATCTGGCTCAGGCTGGCTTCTTCTACCTGGGATGTGACGACCGGGTGCAGTGTTTCTGCTGTGGGTTAAAACTGAACGGCTGGGAAAATGGAGACAACCCGTGGGGTGAACACACCAAACACAACCCCAACTGCTTTTTCATCCTCGGCCATGACGTAGGAAACGTCCCGCTCCTGGACGATGCGTCGGAGGGGAGCAGCAGCCAAGACATGATGGAGGATGGAAATATGGAGACTTTTGAGGGAAGACTCGGTAGCTTTGTGGGCGTTCAGCACCCTGTGAACCCTGAGAGGCTGGCAAGAGCTGGTTTCTACAGCACAGGTAGAGCTTCTATCGTATGGGACATTTACACTACCCCTCTGAAACCATACCGGGAACCGTCTTACCATGGTAACCAAGGTAACTGTTGGGTGTAAATGGTACGCAGGTGAACTGTACTGTTCCAGATACAACCGAACCGCGCTAAATCTAGTACTAGTAGGACTCGGATTGGATCATCTGTGGCTCGGTTCTCTGATAACAAAGAGCTCATGAGCAGAAGGCATCATCTCCTGTTTAGTCAGCTGACTCATTTCGCTGGTTTTCCGGTGTGTCCGGCTTTGTAATTCACAGATCTGTTCAAAACACCATCTTCTTCTCAGCCTATTAACAGTAAATGGCATTAGAAGAGCGTGGTGCGACCTGGGATGATGCCGAGGCTGATGCTCTTATTAAAATTTGGGCGGATGGCGCTCTCCAGGCATGTCATGGGCGCTGCCATTTTCGTTTGCGTATTGCCCGCCAATAGGAGGCGAGGAAATGGTCGTTAGAACCAAGCTGGGCACGGTTAACCGACCCGGTCACGGTTAACCGACCCGGTCACGGTTAACTGACCCAGGCTCGGCCCGAACTCGGCTCAGATGGGTTTCAGAGGGCTAGTGGAAATAGGGTTGTTACGATCTTATAGACTTAACATAAAAATGTTGACATCTTGTCTTTTCAGGACAAGGAGACAAGGTGTTGTGTTTCCGCTGTGGTGGCGGTTTAAAAGATTGGGCGCCAGAGGAAGACCCCTGGGTAGAACACGCTCTGAACTACCCAGGGTAAGACCTACATCCATGTCTGCACTCGCTCACATGTCTGTTAACATCTTTTTATTCATAAATTTCTTCACTTTCCATTAGATGCACCTTTCTGCTGGAAGAAAAGGGAAGAGAATTTGTCAACAGCATTCAGCTACGATGTCCCAGAGAAACCGCTGCTGTAAGTTTAATTACTATAAACCAATTTATGTTTGATCATTTTGTTGAATATAAACACTGGTCTTTTTGTTTTTGAAGCTTGTAATAAAAGAGCTTGAAAAGGATTATTTCATATGTTATTGTATGAAGAGGTGCTTTAAGTAAATTGAATTTTTCTAGATTAATTGGTGGTTAGAAGTAAAAAAAAATGGTTTTAAATTAAATGTACCGTATTTTCACGACCATAAGGCGCACCGTACTAAAAGGCGCACTCTCAGTTATGTGTCCCATTTCTGTATTTAACACACACATAAGGCGCACCGGACTATAGGGCGCATTTTTTATATACAGGTACATGTCCTCTACTACCTTTAAATACCTCTACTGCGCATTTTAAAAATACAGTGGGAGCAAAACTGAGTATGACTGTGCTTTATTCATGTATTTATTACAAAGTATTAATCAAACCTGCGAGCTGGCCGTGAGACAGACACATCGCAGATGACACAGCGCTGTGATCACTCCTAAATTAACTTAAAATCCTGAAACCTGCCGACGGAATATGTTCGCTTTTATTGCCGGTATCCTGGTGCCTGCAGTTTAAATTATTTAGATGAAAAACACCTGCCAGCCGCCGCGGTGAGGCTGCTGTTGAAGGGATTTCTCCTGTCAGCGCACCGCTGGTTTGTGGGGGTCTGAGCGCCTCCGACAGAAATAGATAATCTGGATGAACTGACTGCAATTATTAAGTTTTCAGGTGGACTTTCTCACTTAAAAACATATTAAAACTACTTTATTCCCACTGATCACAGCAAATATAGCTGCAAGATTTAGATTATTTAGATGAAAAACACCTGCCAGCCGCCGCGGTGAAGAGGAGGAGACCCGCCCAGAGGCTACTGTTGAATTAAGTTTTCAGGTAGAAAAATAGAGCGGGAGCAAAACTGAGTATGTTTGTGCTTTATTCATGTATTTATTACAAAGTATTAATCAAACCCATCAAAGTCATCATCCTCTGTTTCTGAATTAAACAGCTGCGCTAAATCAGACATGCCAGTTTCCCCTTCTTCGCTGTCAGAGTCACTTTCCGTGCAGCGCGGCTCCTCAGAAATAATGCCGGCTTTTGCGAAAGCTCGAACAACAGAGCCAGCAGACACGTTAGTCCAAGCATCTACAATCCATCCGCTAACGGTGGCGTAACTTGCCCGGCGCTGCCTTCCACTTATCCTGAAACTGTGGTCTCCGTCTGTCATCCATCGCTCCCACGCCGCTCGCAGCCTTACTTTGAACGGCCGCTTCACACCGATGTCGAGCGGTTGAAGTTCCTTTGTCAGACCCCCCGGGATAACGGCGAGCACAGCATCCATTTGATTCACCTTTTTTTTTCACATCGGCTGTGAGATGGGCACGCAGCGATGGTGATGCGTGGAAAAAAGCACCTGGTCTCCTCACATACACCTGCCTTTCATCATCTCCAGCCTTTTTCATTTGCGTTAATGTCATCAGAGCCCTGTGTCTGTCTCGCTGTCAGCTCCCAGATCAGCTTCTCTGATTGGTTGATGCGGTGCGTCCAGCAGCAAAACTTCAATTTTTCCATCTCGAGCAGCAGCAGCGCGTTGGCGGTGCGTCAGATACTTAAACGCTCCCGAGGCGCTGCGGCTGCTGCTCAAAACGCGCTTTTTGCTGCACCTATACGCGCGTCAACCATTGACTTTGCATGTAAACTCGCTGCTTCTGCTGCACCTGCTGGGTCCGGTTCACACCGATGTCCAGCGGTTGAACAGCGAGCACAGCGTTAATTTGTTTCCCCATGTTTTTCACATCAGCTGTGAGATGGGCACGCATGGAGTCACATATTAACAGCGATGGTGATGAGTGGAAAAAAAACACCTGGTCTCCTGACATTCAGCCACTCTTTCATCATCTCCTCTATGAGGTGGTCTCAAAAGTCGCAGTTACAACACACATAGGGCGCACCGCACCATTGGGCGCACCGCACATTTTGAGGGAAAAAAAAGACGTTTAAGTGCGCCTTATGGTCGTGAAAATACGGTAAGTGGGAAAAAACAACACAAAATTTTCCTACTTTCCTTGCGGTCTCCTTGACTGGTTTCCTACAATTCCTCTTTAAAATCAATCTTTGTACTAAAATATTCTTTCGGTGATGATTTGTGGACATTAAGATCTAAAGAGAAGCGCCATCTGCTGGTCAGACCCTGTAATTCAGTCAAAGGGTGGAGTCAGGAAAAAAAATCTGCACATCCAGGAGAAGGCCTGTGGCTGGAAGTTGGAGGGGATTTTGCTGCCATTCGGTGGCGTTTGTCTGGGAGCGGCCATTTTGAATGGCAGCTACTGTACATCAGTTATTATTGTTCCTGCCCAGCTGGGAAATGTAAACAATGCTTTAATTATTATCTATGTCAGGGATGGGGAATTGGAATTAATAGGAAACATTTTGGCGTTTTTAGATTTTTTTTTTTATTTTTTTTTTTATATTACATTTTTTTTGAGAAAGCACATTACAATACAATTATATACATATACTGGTTATGTTCATATTTTTACATGCTTTCTCTGTTTTCTAATTTTAACAAGAGAAAAAAAAAAAGAACACACAAAAAGATTTTTGTTCTTTGATATCATCGACAAATAATTCTGAATTTCTAATAAAATGAACAAAATAAGTTTTCTTTTTTTGTTTTTTACCAAAATTTGGTAAGAATACACAAAAAGCATGTCCATTGAAATATTTAAAGCTCAGTTTCATTTCCTTTTACCTCCAGGTTCTTTAGATGAGGATTTTATACTTTAGCTGGGTCTTGTTTGGATTTCATATAAACTTTATAAATTGCTGAATTATTCTAAATGTTTAGATCGATGGTCTCAGTTTGGTCCAGAAACGACGCCATGCTTCCCACTCCAGTATTTTTTCTCCATCTTGCTCCTCAGGGTACACTTCCCTGCATGTTTTACATATTTTTCAGTTATCACATACCTGATATCACCTGATAGCAGTTAAACTTTCTTTGCTGAGCTGCAATCATCTGAATCAGGTGTGTTGAAGCAGAGAAACATGTAAAACATGCAGGGTGGTGGTGCCATGATGATCACATTTAAACGAAAGCCGAAAAAGTGGCGGGCCGTTAATGTGCTGCGTTAACGCCAGACTCTTATCACGCGATAAACAAAATGTCGCCGCTGATCTATTAAATTTGGGTTGTGAACTAGGAACTAGTTCTATACTGATGATGTCTGTGATGATGCTAGCAAGTACTTCATGCTGAAACCAAGGTCCAGCAGCGATGCTCTTTGTTTATGTAATGCAAATAAACTAGGAAATGCTTCTTCCTTTATGCCACCAGGGAAACATTCTTCAGATGCTGCCAATGTTAACATTTACAGCTGCAACCTCCAGAACATAATGTTAGCTTAGCACGAACAGACTACCAACATAAACAACCCTGTTTAATAAAAAAATGTTTTCCCCATTTTGACATTACCCAGCAGCCCTTGCTGCCACTCCAGCCTTTCATGACTTCACAATGACTGCCTGAGTGACTGGTGGAAAAAGGAGAACTAGAGTTTGAACGGACTGACGCAAAGTTACTGACTATAAACAGTTAATCACAGAATTCATGTTAATCTGAATAAACTCTTATTAAACACTAATATATCTTATTGGAAATTATTTTCACCACCAGTTATCATAGTAGATGAAGTAGAAAAGCTTCTCAAGCAGTTTGATTCATTAATTCATACCATTGTTTTATTTTTTCCCCCTAATTTTATTCTTATATCTTATTTTTCTATTTTCTGTAAAAAATTGCACACAATGTCCTGCAAGGAATTAATAAAGTAATTCTGATTCAAGAAGACCTTTAGCAGAATTCAAATCAGCCATTTTAATCTAGATTAGTTCCAAGATTACAATAAGATTAATATATATGATATAATATAGACACAACGTTTGTTCTAATATAGTTTAGGTCTTATTTGTCAGCTGATTATAACCGTTTCTGACCCTGTTGGTCAGTTGTCGTTAGAACGCCTTGTCATTCATCATTTTAAACACAATCCTGCATGTTTAGCAGCTTATATCGCTCTATCCAGCGTGTTCTATTGGAAACCAATGAATTGCTAATCCTAATGTCACTTTAGGTATTTCAACATTCTTGGGATCCCTCTTCTTGTTTACTGTATCGATGGTAACATCTTTGTTTTTCTATACAGGCTCCAAGTCAGGAAAATGGATTTACAGCCTGTGAAGAAGGTATTTTTCTAACCCTGAGTCAAAACTACAGAAATGTCAATTATGTCTATTTGTATAGCAGACATTTAATAATTTGTATCCATTTCCTTTCGAAGAGGACCCAATGGAGAAGCTGAGGAAGCTGCAGAGGGAAAAACAGTGTAAAATCTGCATGGATAGAGATATTTGCATCGTCTTCCTGCCATGCGGTCATCTGGTCAGCTGCAAGCAGTGCTCCGAGTCACTCGTCAAATGTCCAATCTGCTGTGGAGCCATTGCACAAAAAATCAAAACCTACATTGCTTAAGGGAAAATAGAACCCGTTCTTTAACATAAATGCTGCTTTGTTTTTGTTTTTTTTTCTTCTGACCTCTGCAACATGGTGGAGAGAGAGAAAGGTAACACTATGGCCTCCCTATAGGGCTGTTCTAGATTTTATTCAGAATAAACTGACATTCATGCTAGGATTATTTGACAATATGACCGATTGTGACGTTTATTAAACTACCAGGTATATCCTGCCTTCTTTCCACTGATAAACTATGTTTAAACATATTGATTATAGATAAGCGAGGTTGTAAAATATAGTTGTAATTTAATAATGCATGTATATCAGATAACCTGTGATATAGTTGTAAATGTATTTTAATCAATCAGATACTTATTTTTACAAACACTTAAATGGTAAGTAGCTGTTTTCTTGATATTTTATGTAACCAGAGTTTTTGTTTTGCTTTATTAGGGCTACTTGTAAATAAAAATTTTAGACAAATCCATATTTTCAGTAAGATTTCCCTTTCTTTACGTTAGCGTTTGATCTAGTCATGGTAAATCTAATCATTTTTAAAAGAACTGAAGGGGTTCATTCCTCATGCCTAATGCACTTGATGCAAATGGAATATTGTCACTCTTAATGTGCAAAATATTGTGTAAATAAATACAATCTCTAATTTATTCAGAGCTGTCTGTATTTTATTGTTTGAAATATTAATTTTTAGGATATAATGAAGCCGATTAAAAACTGAAGATATAAGGATGCCTCATTAGTGGTAAAATCTATGGAAAAGTGATTTTATTCACTATTCTGCTCCGATTAAGATGCATGAAACTGAGAGCTGATTAATAGTGAACATTTTTGTAGATGTATGATATTGATTGTACATCCTGTTGGACGAGGGAATGACACGGGGGGGTATTTCAAATACTCAGCCTTGGTGGTTTTCAATGGCTAAAAACAGGAAATGTGACTATAAACTATAAATGTTTCATAATTAGACAGGATTTGCTGCCCATGTTTTACATTGAATATAGCCTAGGGCCCCAAGTTCCTGGGGGCCCCATAAAACTCTGTTTCCATGTATGGTTAATACAACTATTCCTTATTTGTGCACATTAATTATGTTTTTGATAAAAATCCTTTCATTAAAATGCCATCAGAACGCTGATAATATTAACTGTGTCTCAGCCCCCCCCTTCAGTGTCCACCATATTGGATCAGTCCATTTGCTGCACATGTTCAGAAAGGTCCAAACAGACAGCAGCAAACCATTTGAAAACAAACCATGCAAAGAGCAGTGTTGCCAACTTAGCGCTTTAGTCGCTATATTTAGCCACTTTTCAGACCCCTCTAGCACTTTGATTTCTAAAAAGCTCCTAGCGCCAAATCTAGAGACTTTTTTCTGCTACTGGAGACTTTGGAGACAACATCTAAAAGCAGCGAACTCTGCTCTCCAGAGCGAGTAGATTGGTAACCCCGCCTCCTGCTCTCCTCTATCTTGTCTGCTGTCATGATTCATGCAGCTATTATTTCATCCAAATGAAAAATGGAGAACAGATAAGCAGATCATGGCTTGTCTACAGTGAAAAGAAGGACTGGGTTATTTACTTTGGCCTTTTTGGAAACACAGGAAGGAGCAATCAGCTAAGTGAGCTTAGTGCTTGGAAAAAATCTTTCATTCCTTTAGAGACAGCATGAAAAGTCAGCTGAGTACAAAACATAGAGAGGAAAACAAGAAGAAAAGGGACAAGAAGAGAGGGACACAACCTAGAACAGATAATGGATGTCTATTCTATTAACATTTCTCTATCTGTAGAATGGGGCCGTTTTATGTTTTGTCTTCTCCATTCAGAGGGCCCCAAATTTCCTAAATCCATCCCTGCTATAGATTCCGTATATATATATATATATATATATATATATATATATATATATATATATATATATATAATTGTTCTGCACCATCAGAACCAAGTCCAATTCATTATAAGTGTAAACCTACTTGGAAATAAACTTGATCCTGATTCTGATCCTTCCCCTATCTCGGAGGTCTTCAACAGGGGGTCCATGGGGGGAGCGAGAGCTTTGGTTGATTAGACTTTTTTTATATTCCCCCTTGCAATTTTTCCACTAATTGAAATGTCTTTAAATCCACATGAACATTAATTCAACAGACTGCAGTAAACAGATAAATGAAGGCAGAAGATGTCTTTCAGTCATCAATGCTCACATTCAGCGACACATTAAGCTGGGCACCGTTTCATTCACAACACCTGTCCCATCAACCAGGAAGCAGAAATACTTTAATAATCCCAGGGAGGGATTACTTTAGTTACATTACTCCATCTGTAATAGAGTGACTATAGGACCAGTTTGATAGAACACTATTTTATACAATATATAATTAGGGGGTCCCCGCTCCATCTAGCCATCAGTTTGGTCTGGAAAACATTAGAGACCCCTGGTGTATCCGATTACACCAAACCAAAATACTGCATGTTTGCACCATGTATATTAATTCTCTGAATTTCCACATTAATTCATTTGCGCCATGTTTTTTCTCCCACACTATTTACATTTGATCACTGCTGCACTTTAAGAAATGAAAATATAAGGAAAGCTGTATAAAACTACATTTGTCTTTTATACACGCTCTGTATTTTTTGTATATGGTTTTGTATATTATGACAAGTTTTTATTTTCTATCAGCCACGTACGATCGAGATGCAGTACCTGTCAGCAACCACTAGGTGTCAGGCCATCGGCTTTGTTTCTAACGGGTTCGATGTGGCCGCTAGGTGGCAGCTCTGCACCAGCATTTCCTCCTCCTAGGTCGTCGAAACAACAAACCGAACTACGGAGCGAGCGGGGTGAGAACGTCCCAAACTGCCTCTGACCGCGACTTTTAAACTCTTTTTTAAACAGATTTCCAGCGGGTTGGAGGGAGAAACTGTCCAGGAATAATAAAAGTTACGATTGTGCCCCAACAACACAGTACAACAAGGTAAGTTAGCCGTAAAATGGCGGAGAGCTATGTGGAACTTAGTTGATTTGTATTTTGCTAGCCAGGCTAGCTGTGGAGGAGCCCAGAGCGCGGATGTCTGCCTGAACCCAGTCGCTGCGCTAGCTCGCGGTACACGGCTAATTTGGTCGCTAGCAGGTTAGCTTGGTCGATTTTCGGCACAACTGCTGTAATTAAACGATTTTCAAAATAAAGAGGCGCTTTAATTGTCTTATATGTCCACAAATCCGCTATTTATTTGTAAACAAAGTGTTTGCTGCTTATGCAATACGGTACTGGAACTCCCGAGGCAAGATGGAGGACGCAAGGACGTGATGTTTTTTTTAGGTAAGGCTAGCGCTAGCTGCTAACCTAGCTAAGTAGCGATACTTGTTCTCAGCTTGTTGTTTCCTGTTTGACTGTTTATACTTTATTAATTAGAGGGAAACTTGTCTATGTGTGATATGCACTCACCAGGCATCTAATGCCCATTGAGAAACAGCTATTTAGCGCCATTCTGTAATGGCTGTATATTTTAGCTCAGGCTACTACAGTAGAGCTTACGTTGTTTTGTTGTTATGATCTGGTTATATAGACGTAGCGATGTTCTATATTGCTAATCTGGATAAAATACTTGGTTAATGTTTGTTCATTCGGGTTTAATCGAAAACAAACGGTGAGGTTTTGCCGAGTCGTGCATGCTCAGTTCATCAGGTCTCAACTAGCTGACGTCGAGGAAAAGACGCGGAGACGGTGGGTTAGCTGGCGGCGCTAGCATCAGCGGCGCACCGGCGTCAATTTCTGACAGCAGCCGACGGAGAGCGCAGCGGCGGCGGCGTGGTGGGAGCGAACCGAGCCGGCGGGGTTTTGGAAACCAGCTCCGGATTCGGTTGATTCTGGCTTTGGTTTCACTGCTTCGCTGTTTTCTAAACGAGACTCCGCCGCTTCTCTGTAACTTTATAAATCGCTGCTGTCCGATTTGGCGCCACTTTTCGGTCTACACCCAGAGAACCTTGCGGGCTTGTCAGGTAGGACCCCATCACGAGCGGGGCGAAACGCACGTAATAACATCACCTTAGAAATATTGCTTTAACTATTGATTTATAAAGTCACACAAATGCTCCTGAAGGCAGTTTTCCTCCGTTCACACCTGTGCTTCTTTAAAGCTAATGTTGAGCATTAATATTATACAATCATATTCTTTGTTGGGCAGCTTTGTTGATTTAAAACACCAGGATTGCTTTATTTTATTGCAATAATTTCTTTAAATTCACACTTTTTTGTTTACCTACATATTTATAAGTTTACCTCTCTTAACGGGGGGGGGGGGGGGGGGGTTGTTTTCCCTCCCGGGACTGGGCACATTTCTCATCAGAGCTTCTCAGATCTAAGGAAACGTTTGCATTTATTACTTACAACAATCAAAACATATAAAGTTCTGCTCACTCTATGTGATGTGCATGAATTTCTACTTCAGATCATGCAATGCTTTTTTTTTTACTGTGGCCTGTTGATGTTGATCCTGCCCTTTGATTGGTTTTCATATGTATGGGCGGACTGGACAGTGCCATATTTGGTCATGGAGGATGAAACCCTCAGCTTCCATGTATGACGTTTTCCTCTAACCAGAGCGAAGATGAAAGCTGCAGCCAATAGGAGAACAGCAGGCATGACAGTAGCGTTTGTGTCCGCCCCCTGTTACCATGTGAAACTTTTTTTTCCTCCCCCATCTACGAATTGTTTGCTCCCCACAGAGACTTTGATGTTATCTTGTTATGGTTTTCTATGAGTTTGATGGTATTATTTGAGGTATTTATTACGATGACACTGAGTGGTTCTTGAAATCTTTTTCTACTCCCCAGGTCACATGCAACCCCCCCTATCTCTTTTTTTGCGAAGAATCTCAAGTCAGTTGTAAAGTTGACGTTAACCAGAAGATGTTACAGAAATGATAGCAGCACCAGAAATACCACCAGAGTTCGCCTACCCTCAGTAAGTACCCGCTTTTATGTGTTGTTGCTTTTTATTTTAATTTAAAGCCAGTTAGAAATGCTGTTTTACTCAGCTCTGTACAGCTAAACGTTAAAATAGGCTTGGGCGATATGGAGAAAATCTAATATTGCCCTATCTTTGGGCTATATAGCGATACACCATATATATCACAGTATGACCTACAAAAAAAATAGAGAACATAAAATTGCGATGATATCCTTATTCAAAGTTTTGATTTCAAATTTAAAACCTTTTATTTTAAGCAAGAGCAAACAAACGGTAAACAAAGCAAAAAACAACAAATTGTAATAAAATACGAAATAAAAAAAAGGGCTCTTTCGTGCATGAGAAGAAAAAAATGCAGAAAAATTACAAAACCAAAAGTGGAAATACTGCCCAAAAATTAGAGCATTATAACCCTAACAATTTGCACTGATCTTTACAAGCTGGGAATTTTAAAGGCGTAGGGAAATCGTATTTGAATGTCAAATCATTCTGGCTTAAACATGTATATAAATGTACTCTTTACCAGACCATATTGTCCCAAAATTTAGAAAATTTCTATTTAAAAAAAATCATGTCTTAAAATATGTTTTTCTTTCATTATCTTCAGCAGGCCAGTTAGTTCTACGTCAGCCTGAACACCTAAATTCGGCCAATCATATATCGACTTTCATCTGTTAATCATATTTTTTCGGTCATAGCATCTTGATTCATGTGTCGCAGCTAATATACGCAACGGTTGAAACCACAATCCTTTCCTTTCCCATTGAGTTGCGTCCCAGTGTTCACGGGGATGGACGTCTGTGTCTTCGGCAGGCGTAGAGCTAACAGAACTGGCAGCGTTGCGAGGCAAGGGCTCAAACATGTACGGCTGGAAGCCTTCTACACCAAACCAAGCTTCTGCCGCCCTGGCGTCCTCTTCCACAACATCTTCGTCCCCGCTTTCCTCCTCTAAATAAAAAATGGATGACGGAGGAGACTCATCCACGACCTCCGACACTAAACTCTCCTCCTCTTGCATGTTTCCGCTGTCCATAGCGTTCCTTGACAGCGTCGTTTCTAAGTCACCAATTTAGTGCTACTTGGTCCCAATGGAATTTCAATTAAATTCTATTCAGTTTATTTCTATAGATCCAATTCACATCATGTCATCTCAGGTCACTTTCCAGTTCACCAGATCATCCAGTCAGATTGATTCAAAGTTTTCTATCTAAGGAAAACCAGCTGATTGCATCGACTCATTGACTCTTCAGCAATCCCTCACACTAAGCATGCTTGTAGCGACAGTGGAGAGGAAAAACTCCCTTTGAACAGGAAGAAACCTCCAGCAGAACCAGGCTCAGTGTGAGCGGCCATCTGCTGAGGCCCACTGGGGTTCAAGGAGACAGAAGCAGACATAGAAAAAGCAACTGTAAGAGGCGGTGTAGGTACCAGATTGACTCGGGGGGCCTGCGCCTATGCTGAGATGCGTCAGAGCATCTCAGCATAGGCGCCATCTTAAATGTGGCAAATCTGCAGTTTCTCAGTCACTTATATAGTATCAGAGGGACTTTAATCTCTGAATATACTTTGTATTCGTAGTATTTTTGTTTTTGTAATATTACAAGTTTATTTTTTGTATCCCTTTAGCTTCATTCTCCTGAATTTATTCTCGTTACAAATGCAGACCGCGGGCTCAATGTAGTTTGTTTGAGTGGCGTTGCCATAATGTCACGTCATGGGGAGGCGCAAGGCCCATGGCGAATTCGGTGACGTCATCGGAAGGCGCAGGGACCATGGAGAATTTCTTCGTAAAATTGTCCGTTTACAAACCGCAATCCCGCTTTCGAATAAAACCTACACCCCGCTATAATTACTTTAGTAAGCCGTCCAGACCAATCAAAATGTTTTGCGCAATTGTGCAAACGTTAAAACAATTATGTATTGTGACGTCATCAAAAGGCGCAGGCCCCCGAGTCAATCTGGCAGCCCGAGTCAATCTGGTACCTACAGCGGCACCATCGAGGGAACACACAGCCAGGCAGACCATTTCCCATTGGGAACCTACTAGCACCAAGTTGCTAACTGGCTAGCAAGATGCTTCCGACAAACCGGCCACAACCAAAAAGATGTGAACAAATCCGCCCCCTTGATAATCGACCAATCACATTCACTTTCTTCACTCATGTAAAGTCGTGCACCGCTCAGGAGAATTTGGAAATGCAACCTTTAGAACAGCCGCTTCCCTATGACTTTAAAACTGTAGTGGTTTTAAAATCTCAGCGCACCTTTATAACTATATTGGTATTAAATGTTCAATCTTTCAACAGGGACACCGATACCAGATTCTCCTCAGACACAGACTTCTCTGAGGATCTTGATGGCAGAGGTGGAATTCCAGCTAAAGGAAAGGTACATAGCTGGGTGTAAACCCTCCTCACATGTGTCTTGGCCGACGTGTTCGGTTGTGTTTTTTAAACACGCCTCTTTTTGGTTCTCCATATGTTTGGTAGGGTGGAAAGAAAGGGAAGAAGGCGGCGGGGGAGAAAGGCAAAGGCGGGAAGGGCGCAGGCCGCATAAATGGCCACCACCAAGAGAACGGCATGGAGAACATGATGCTGTTCGAGGTGGTGAAAGTGGGCAGGAGTGCAATGCAGGTAAAGCTGGAACGGGATTTAAAAAGGTTTTGGTAAGAAGGAACCGCTACGGATTTTTAATGAGCTAATTTCTCTTTGTCCGCAGTCTGTTGTTGATGAATGGATCGAGTCTTACAAACACGACAGAGATGTTGCTCTGCTAGATCTCATCAATTTCTTCATCCAGTGCTCAGGGTGTAAAGGTTTGTAAACACAGCATCTGTTTTTTTTATCAGACTGTTGATCTTTTATCCCAGTGCTCTAACTAGCCTTCCTCCATCAGGGGTGGTGAGTGGAGAAATGTTTCGCAACATGCAGAACTCTGAGATCATCCGACGAATGACGGAGGAATTTGATGAGGTAAATTTTACACCCATTCGGTCTTTTTGCTTTATTTCAGTTTATTTTGGATATCGTTTTTCAGTGTCTTGTTGTTGTCTTCCTTTGTAGGACAGCGGTGACTACCCTCTAACCATAGCTGGGCCCCAGTGGAAGAAGTTCAAAACCAGCTTTTGTGAATTCATTTCTGTGCTAGTGCGTCAGTGTCAGTACAGCATCATCTACGACGAGTACATGATGGACACGGTCATCTCCCTCCTCACTGGACTATCAGATTCACAAGTCCGAGCCTTCAGACACACCTCAACGCTGGCAGGTAAAAGTAGCCTTCTTTATCCACGAAGCTTGATTGTTGGGCTTTGAGGCATGATTAGCAACTTCTTAAGGTGTTTAGTAATAGAAGAGCGAAAATGGATGCATGATCAGGCTTTTACTGATCATTTCTATTTTAGGTGTCCTTTCAAGTCTGCTCTGCTGTTTTTAATGATACTACTTTCCAATTATGTTTTAAAACATAAAACAAGATCATCTAAATTCATCAAACCACGTTTTCCTTTGTTGTTTTCCGTTCTGTTAAAGTCTAGTAGAGCATAAAGGTACCTGTCCTCAGTTGATGTGTTTATAGAGAGAAAATAGTCTTAGTTCTTGACTCTGCTGCATTTAAGGGACAGGAAAAAAATCTTTCTTATTACTTTCACTGCCAGTTTCAAGAAAATTGACTCTTTGATTTCTGCCCATCTTAAAATCAAATAGTTTGCGTGTTTTAAACTTAAAACACACACTTAGATTAATGTAAAATGACAAAAGTTGTCCAACTCTACTCACAGCAGGTTTAATTAATTGTTTGGGTTTTGTTCCCTGTTTCCTCCATTAATGCTGTCATTGTGTTTGAACTACACAGACAGCGCAGCCGTTATTTAAACCAGTCCGATCACATGTTTGTTTAATGCTTTGATCTCTGATCGACATAAGAAATGATGGGAGAGTAATACGATAGAAGATGTTGGGCATCGAATGCTGGTTTCTGGCTGATCACCGATTCCTGGAGTGGGGAGTCAGGGGTTGACGTTAAGGATTTTTACCACTTGCCCTTTGGGCAAGTGACTTTCACATTCCATTTGCCTAGAAACAATTTTTACTTGCCCAGTATAATGTTTGATATATATAGTTCCTAATACTCATTTTTGTATATATATCAATGAAACATGTTTGTTTTTTTAAATGTTTTTTGTAATTCAGTAAGTTTCCAGGTTCCTGGTGTGGATCTGCAGGCGTCAGATAATGAACTCAAGCCTACATTACCGTGTTAACATGCTTTTCAATCCTTCCTGCACATTCTTTTCAAACTAAACTTTGCTTTAAACTGTTGTTTGGTTGGAAAAATATAAATTGTAATGTTAAAAATCTAAAAAAAAACTCACTGTATGTTTATGCAAGATAAGACTATTAATATAATGTGACTTTTCTAGAGAATCATTATCCATAGTTATTTTATTCAGGGTTTCCACAGTCTGACATCATTTCAGAATTCCCTGACTTTTAACTGACTCAGGATTAGTTTCCCCTGACAAAATAAATGCAGCAACAAGACAATAATAATAACATAACAGGTCACCAATCTAACATGTTTAGCTCTATAACATTTAAATGCACCTCTCCAATGTCTAAGAGAAAAAAAATGATGAACATGTTTTAATGTATGACCTGCATCACTGTACAGAAGACTACCATATGATAGCGCTTTCTTAACCTGACTCCGCCAGATGGATTTGCTCCGCATATCCATCTGGAAACCTTCCACAGAACTAATTCTGGGAAGGGGCGAAAATACTGGTTAGCTGATTGGCCTATGTTGGTGATAGACGGGCCAAATAAACCAATCAGATCAACGAAGCATATGACGTACTAACAGAGCGACGACGAAGAGGAGCCAATTGATAGATCAAACTCTTGCCGAAACCAGTCGGGAGAAGAGCAAAAGAAATACTCTGTAAATACTCTGTAATTCCGATAAAACTTGCTCGATAGCCACGCTAACGCTAGTTTCATCGGCTGAAGCCGCGATGTACTTTAGACTGAACTGTCACGCTTTTTGTTGCGTCACACCTCAACCCGCCTCAAAGCCAACGCTGATTGGACGTTCGTTTGGCGAACGGCTCCAAATTTTCTTTAACGGAGAGTCTCCAGACTGATTAGCGAGTGAAATCTTGAAAGCTCGCAAGATCAGGATGGTCTCACAAGGCTAGCGCTTTCTAGCTTGTATGTCGTTTTGGTAACTACATCAAAATTACCGCTAGGTGGCCGAAAATCACCCGGCCTTTTCAAATCACGCGACAATGTGTACAAAACAACAAAGATGGTGCCGCCAACGCTTCTGGGTCGTTTTCAGCGAATTTTGGCGATTTTAAAGTAATTTTGAGTGATAAATTATTATTTTTTTGCGATCATTGCACTTGCTCGACGGGCAAATGCAGTGAAATTTGTACCCTCCCGACAATAAAAACTTCTTGCCCCGGGCGATGGTTAACATCGAGCCCTGGGAGTGTTGGTTTAGTGGTTAGAGCAGTGCGCTTGTGCTCTGGGAAGGGTGAAAGTACCTCGTTTGATCCCCCAGCCTCCACCCTGGGTCTATGAGCAAGACCTTTAACTCCACACTGCTCCCCGGGCGCCGCACAGTGGCAGCCCACTGCTCCCCAAGGGGATGGGTTAAATGCAGAGTGAATTTCTCCAATGTGGATCAATAACGTTCAATTTCTATCTTTTTCTTTCTGATCTCTGAAAAGCCTGAGAGGCTGACTCTGATTTAGGTCGATACAGATTATTTGTAGCAACCGATACTGCTAATATGTGAATCTTATCTTAATGCAACAGGCATTATTAAATACCCCATAAAACACCAAAAACTGCTGAATATGCTAAAATTGTCCAAATATTTAAACCTTCACCGAATGAATGAGCTCATCAGCGTTTAAGTGCAGAATTATTTCATTTTTCTTGGTTCTTTAACACCTTACTCACACTGATTGTTGTTAATTGTGGGTCACTTCTCTCAATAGAAACTTCCGCACCAAAGAGTGTTCCTGTCAGCTCAACCTGGTAGAGCCTAGCTTGATGCTTTCACTGACTTGTAAAACGTCTGTTTTTCTTGGTTTGGAACAGACCAGAGTCATTTAAGCTGAAAATCAGACATTTCCAGTCGAAGATTTCCTTCTTGGTGTATCTAAAAGATCCGGTTCCTGCTATATTCACATAGTTACTAAAGATTTCAGAAATACTGATGAGGTTTTTGTTTCTCAATCAGTTCACACACCTGACTTTATGTCTTCAATGATTTTCATCTACTAAACTCAACAGAGCCTAACGTTGGTTTCGATGTCTCTTTTTTCTTTTCCCCTGACAGCCATGAAGCTGATGACAGCCCTGGTGAATGTAGCTCTAAACCTGAGCATTAATATGGACAACACCCAGCGCCAGTATGACGCAGAGAGGAATAAAATGGTTGCTAAAAGAGCCAACGACAGGCTGGAGCTTCTCCTCCAAAAGCGTAAAGAGGTGAGCAGAATCCCAGCTAACTCTACAGGAAGCCTGGGGAGGCGTTCAGAGGCAGCAGTAACTGATGTAGCAGCAGACTGAGGATCAGGAGTTATAAAAACACCGGACCGTTTAATATCTTACTGGTCTTATCTGTAGCATTAAAACCGGCTGATCATTGACTGCTGTCTGTCTTATGTGGACGAGTTATTGGATAATGTGGCTTTTTTTAAGTTCCCCACTGATGGAAGCTTCCTGGGTGGTTAAAATAATTTATATTTCAATACTAAACACCCGGAATAAGCTGTGCCCCAAATATTATAAACTTAGCAGGGGTGGACAATTATTTAATATTGAAATATATTGAGATGTGATGTAACTGAGTAACGGTGACATCATGTTTCTGATATGTAATATATATTGCTGTTTATGGTTGGAGAATTTGTTTTTTTACTGACCTTTGAACCTTTTTTTAATCAACTTTTTCTGAAACGTTCGAGGAGATCTATAAACATGGCAGAATGTTTGTCATTGTGGGCATTCCTTAAAGTCTTCCTGAGGTTTTGTTGTAAATGTATCATGTTGACCGAAATAAAGCAATAGGTGGAGATAGTTTTAGTCGTGCAGCCATGAAACTGACCCATCAGTGTTTGCCAGATTGCGGCGTTCCTTCTGTCATGAAGGCTGCAGTGATGCAGACACCCAGGGGCTCAGCTCACCAAAGCTTTAGCTAACGTTTTAAGTACAACCAAAAATTAAGCAGTTCTGATACTGCTAAAAATAATAATATGATAAAAGACTTCATATTTCCTTATTTGTGAAGCTGATGCCAAAGTATAACTTCAAAAGATGCTCGGCATTCCTCATTTTAGGGAAGACAGAGATTCTTGGAAGAGTTGTCATAAAATCCAACTTTATTCTCATAATGTTACTACTAGGGGAGTGGCGGTCTAGTGGCTAGGGCATAGAGCTTGAAATCCTGAGGTTGTGAGTACAACCAACTAAGATTGCCATTCTGGGTCCCTGAGCAAGACCCTTAAAGGCCTGATTAGACTTCTGCAACCGCACACATCAAACGTTGCTTGAGTTGGGGCGCAAACCAGTTTTGCTGGTGTGCTTCTGCACCGTCGGCCTGGAATTTCTGGGGACACCACGACCACACAGACAGCCGGAAAGGCATAGGAAGGACCAATCGCAGCTGCTTTTTCTCTGTGCACTTGTGCTTGAGGTCTGCGCGGGTTTGCGACTGTCCGGCGCGTAGTCGGGATTTTTTTGAGGTGCACTACGACTGTTGCAGAACCTCTGCGTGGAGGGCGTGGTCACGCACAGAGACTGATTTGACGGTTGCGCAGGCATAAATTGGCCTTAAACTTGCACTGCTTCCTGGGCGCCAGAACAATGTGCATCGTTTAAACTCGCACCCCCTCGCCGAAACCCGGCTGCTGCGCTCTCCACTCCGACAACCCGCTCTCGCTTGGCTCCACGGGATAACTGATGTCATTTCCTTTACAGCTGTGTTAGACGCTTCTTCACTTGTCTCTGTTTAGTAGATCAGTCGCTCATTCGCCGTTCTATTTGTTTACGCTTCTGACTGGATGGGTGGAGTCATGTGATTACACACATTACCGTCTTAAAGGGGAAGGAAATACCAGCCACCAGCACTCGCAGGAAAAACCGCAGAATTAAATAGTTTTATTTTACCTACTTTGGAAATTTGTTGGTTGTTATGGTGCTGAAAATCTGGTTTATCGCTCAGCCCTAGCACTAATACCAGAACAACGGTGCGATCTTCCATTGAGGCTAATCAATACTTGTTTTTCCTAATAGAGAAGTGACTCTTAGGTCTTTTTTTCTAAATGAGGGCCAAACTGTCCCATAATGATGTTTTCTTTCTTCCTAATCGGTCATTTTTTTTCCTTCACTAGAATGAACTCTGTGCCTTTAAAAGATGTTTTACCACCAAAGTATCAGAATCTCATCTTTCTCTATTGCAAGCCACTGAAGTCACACAAACGTGTGAAGATAAACTTCACTTTTCAATTCTATTCAGTTTATTTCTATAGCTCCAATTCACATCATGTCATCTCAGGTCACTTTACAGTTCACCAGATCATCCAGTCAGATTGATTCAAAGTTTTCTATCTAAGGAAAACCAGCTGATTGCATCGACTCATTGACTCTTCAGCAATCCCTCACAATAAGCATGCTTGTAGCGACAGTGGAGAGGAAAAACTCCCTTTGAACAGGAAGAAACCTCAAGCAGAACCAGGCTCAGTGTGAGCGGCCATCTGCTGAGGCCCACTGGGGTTCAAGGAGACAGAAGCAGAGATACAGTCGGAAAAATCTTGAACAGAAAACCCCCTTTAGAGGGCAAGTTAGCGTTTTTGATCCCTTGCAAATAGAGAAAGGTTTTCTGTTGCTGGATTCCTTTTAAACAGACGCAAATCTATTGAATATTAAACTTGAGCTTTTTCTTTTTTTTCCCTGTAGTTTATTAGTACTTTAGTTGAAGAGGTTCAGTTCCCTCGTTGTAAAGACAGTAATGTCTCCAAAACTTGTTTCTATTATAAGGAAAAAATTAATTGCATCCATTTATTCATATGAACAGTTATGTTTTTGAATCGATAGTTTGATTCATTGATGTTGAGCAACGGTTGTTGGTCAATGTTTAGATGAGTAATAGTACTTTCATTTTGTATTAACCTATTAGAACTGTGTGGCTAATGTTAAGACTTCTAGATTTCTGTCTTTTACAACCTAAACTACCGATCAGCCAATGTGAATCAAAGCAATGAGTATATCCTCCTGTTAGATGCTTACTAGGGGTGGAACGGTTCACAAAATCCACGGCCTGCAGCAGACGGGCCGACGTTTGGCCCGGGCTGCAGCAGACGGGTAAAGGAGTAGGGGCCAGAACAACATCCGGGGAATTTGTCCATTCTAGGTCTGCTGTTTTTGTGAATTGGAAGTAGTCATGACGTTTTACGAGAACGCAAAAGTACACATATTGAGAAACGGCCTTAGACTTAAACAAATTTTATTGTCATTTAAAAGGGTGCCGAGGTCCCTGTTACCATGGGAACCAGTTTAGAGTTATGTGCAAAGGTCCAACCTAATTAATCATTGTGTCAGTTAAATGCAGCATCACTTCAGCTTATTAAACTTGAGTTGGATGCTGATTAAACGGCCATGAAGGGAGAAATTAATATTTGTTCTTGAAGCCTGTTAATGACTTTGAAGTTTCCTGATTAATGCCAGTATTTAGTAGGCCTGCTTGGCAGAGTTTGTGTTGCTTTCATTCATTCTTAGTTTATTCAGAAACGAAGTAGATGAAACTAGTAATCTGTCTGGATTATTTTAATCCCAGTGAAATGTGGTGACCACTAACCATATGATCATTTAGGTTCATGTTTGACGTATTTAAAAAGTTTCTTTCTGTGCTTTATTTCAGCTCCAAGAGAATCAGGATGAAATTGAGAACATGATGAATGCAATTTTCAAAGGAGTGTTTGTTCATCGATACCGGTACGAGTTAACATTAATATTTGTTGGCAAACAATCCTGCCTAAACAAATCTAGATATATATTTTTTTTCTTTTTCTGAATAAATAATTGCGTTTACAGAGACTCTATAGCGGAAATCAGAGCCATCTGCATAGAGGAGATCGGCGTGTGGATGAAACTGTACAGCGATGCCTTCCTCAACGACAGCTATCTGAAGTATGTGGGTTGGACCATGCATGATAAGGTATGCTGTTCTTACGTTTTTCCCGTGTGGCAGCTGTTATTGTGTGGAGTAAATATTTCTCTTACTCATATCTGTTAAAATGCGCGTTGATGAGTGCAGCAAACTGTGATAAACATTGCCTGCTGCGTCTGATTTGATTGCAGCAAGGAGAGGTACGTCTCAAGTGTCTGACAGCTCTGCAGGGCCTCTACCACAACAGAGAGCTGAATGCAAGACTGGAGCTCTTCACCAGCCGCTTTAAGGTCAGCACCACCTGCTGGACGACTTTAACACAGCACCTTTTCATCTGTCATTCATCTGTCCACCGGGGCGGAAAGTGTTTTCATTTAAAACATCATATTCAGTTTAACTGGCTGCTTTTATCGTGACTAACAAGGATTTATTAATAACCCAGATTATTCTCCAAGTTGACCCCTTCTGCTCTTTTCTCTCAGGACCGGATTGTCTCCATGACTCTTGACAAGGAATACGATGTTGCCGTACAAGCAATTAAACTGCTGACGCTAGTCTTAAAGTAAGTGGGTTTCTATTTGCTAAAATCTACAATCTGACCTTTTTCATTTGAAAGAAACAAAGCAACAGTTGCTCCTGCTGCTGTACAGCAAAAATAGCTTTATCATTGCACAAAGATTAAAACAAAAAGAAACACATTTGTTGGGTAAATTGATTCATTTCCCTCCTCTTCCTGCAGAGAATACTTCACTTTGGCTCTTTTAATCACATCACAGCACTCAGGATTTTTTTGTTTTGTTAGGTCTGATCTGCAGATTCAGATTTTAACTTGTTTGTTTCAATAGTTTGAAGTAGAGCTGAAGCAATAATTAGATTAATCAGATTATAGAAATAATGTTCACCTAATTCAGTAATCATTAACTGGAGTATAGAGACTCTAAAACGTGCCTTTAGGTGACAGAGCGACTCACTTAGAGCAGGAATTATACCTAGATTGTTAAACAATGTATATAAATTTTTTATTTAAGATTAAAAACAAACTTTTTCATCTGTCAATCTGCTCTATCCAGAACACCACAAGTGGAAAAGTTTGAGTTTCACCTGGTTTAATTTGATTAAAAGTCTCTTTAGATATCCGATTAATTGAAAAATTAATCAACAGATTAATCGATTTGCGAAATAATTGTTAGTTGCAGCCCTAAACTTTGAGCCATGGGTGATAGGCGGCGCTGAAATCGTGATGGGAAAAGCAGTCAGCAATAGATGGGGGAGGGGCAGCATTGCTTTGTAAGCCCTGATCTAACCCTGGTATTCTGAGGAAATGCTTTAGCAGGGTGGGGAACATGTGAGGTCTGATGCAATGATTTGATTAGAAAATGTGTTTTTATTTATTTATTGTTGACACTGACGTTTCTCTACATGAGCAGGAACCTTTTATTAATGCACTCGGTTTGTCTCTGCAGTAGTACAGATGAGGTGTTGACGCCCGAGGACTGCGAGAGCGTCTATCACTTGGTCTACTCGGCACACCGGCCGGTTGCTATTGCAGCTGGAGAATTCCTCTACAAGAAGTAAGTTTTGTTCTAGCAGTTCATCAACCTGTTTAGACCTCAAAGGGTTTATCCTGGGTAGATTGAAGAGGCCTCTTGTCTGCAGAGTCTGGTAACGATCCACTTCTTCACAGATTGTTCAGTCAGCGAGAACCAGAGGAGGAAGGTGCCCCTAAAAGAAGAGGCAGACAAAGTCCTAACGCCAACCTCATCAAGACCACTGTCTTTTTCTTCCTGGAGAGTGAGGTAGGGTCTGTTTCTGGTTTCTCCTGATGCAGCAGGTTTTTATCACGTGGTTAAAGTTCCTTTGCGCTTCCCTGTAGCTCCATGAGCACGCAGCTTACCTGGTAGACTCCCTCTGGGAATGTGGTGCAGAGCTACTGAAAGACTGGGAGTGTATGATCAGCTTACTGCTGGACGACCCCATGCCAGGAGAGGAAGGTACGACTCTGCTTCTTTCAGCTGAAGCTTTGTAGCTTGGATTGGATCCAAATGAAGCTGACTGGTTGGCTTTGGTGTGTTCAGCTCTTACAGACAGACAGGAGACAGCTTTGATTGAGATCATGCTGTGCACTGTGCGTCAGGCTGCTGAATGCCATCCGCCTGTTGGGAGAGGAACGGGAAAGAGGGTGAGAGGCCCAGCAGAACCAGGAGCTACAGTAGATCATGTTATTAAAGCTGATGCAGACTCTACTGGGATCTGATGAGAACAAACAGCTTCAGACGCCTCAGTATCTATTCAGGGTTTCCTCATATTGTAGAAAAATAAATAGATTTGATCATTTTATAAGACCTAAATTAACATCTAGAAAAGATATTGCTTCTAGTATAAAAGTTAATCCTAACTTAAAATTTTCTTTTCAAAAATGTAACACTTCCTCCCTTCTTTGCATCCTTTCCTTCCTCTTTCTATACATCCCGTCCCGTTTGTTCCTTGCTCCCTTCCTTTGTTCTTTCTATCTTTGCTTGCTTCCTTCCTTCCTTCTTTGCATCCTTTCCTCTCTCGTTCTATTCATTCATTCTTCAATCCCTCCTTTTTTCCTTGCTCCATTCCTTCCCTCCTCCTTTCCTTCTTTGCACCCTTTCCTCCCTCGTTCTATTCATTCATTCTTCAATCCCTCCTTTTTTCCTTGCTCCCATCCTTCCCTCCTCCTTTCCTTCTTTGCATCCTTTCCTCCCTCGTTCCATCCATACTCTCTTTCATCCAGTTCCCGTCCTGTTTATTCCTTGCTCCCTTCCTTTTTTCTTTCTATCCTTGCTCCCTTCCTTTTTTCTTTCTATCCTTGCTTCCTTCCCACTTTCTTAGCATTTCTTGTGTCTGTAATCTCTCCATTTAGACCCGGAGTGATGTTAATTTCTAATTGGACTCTAAAGTATTGAATGTGAATGAAAACCAAGGCTCTCTGTCCGTCAAAAACAGATTCCATGTTTCCTGCCATCTCTGGATCCCTTGACTTTAAATCGTAGGGTATTTCTGCAGACCTGGAAGCAAAGCAGTGGTGTGGACCGTCTAACTGGTTTCCCTTTGCTCTTAAGGTAATGACGGCGAAAGAGAAGAAGACCCAGCTGGACGATCGGACACGAATCACTGAACTGTTCGCTGTAGCTCTACCGCCTCTTCTGGCCAAGGTACGACAGCAAAAAGATCCTGTTTGTTTTATTTTGGGTAAATGTTGCTAGAAAGTTTAATGTTGAGCATTTTTATTCCCCCCCTACCCTCCAACAGTACGCTGTTGATGCAGAGAAGGTGACCAACCTGTTACAGCTGCCTCAGTACTTTGACCTGGAGATTTACACCACAGGACGTCTGGAGAAGGTACGGCTGATCACATTAGGACATGATTTCAAACTAAAGGTCATCGTCTAACCGGCCTGTTGTTGAGTCCAGTGTCATGTTAAAAAGATGTGACGATTAATACAGTTCTATTCAGTTTATTTCTATAGCTCCAATTCACATCATGTCATCTCAGGTACCTTTCCAGTTCACCAGATCATCCAGTCAGATTGATTCAAAGTTTTCTATCTAAGGAAAACCAGCTGATTGCATCGACTCATTGACTCTTCAGCAATCCCTCACACTAAGGATGCTTGTAGCGACAGTGGAGAGGAAAAACTCCCTTTGAAAAGGAAGAAACCTCCAGCAGAACCAGGCTCAGTGTGAGCGGCCATCTGCTGAGGCCCACTGGGGTTCAAGGAGACAGAAGCAGACATAGAAAAAGAAGCATAGATACAAAAGGCAACTGTCAACCAGCTCCACAGGCGGCCCCGTCCAGGAAACACACAGCCAGGCAGACGAGCTCCGAGCCAGCTCCCATGTCAGAGGATGAAGAGAGCACATCCAGTTAGTCACAGTCAGAGAAACAGGACTACACTGGAAAACAGGCCGATCTCCAACATCTAGAAACAAAGGTGTTGATGGCAGCAGCACAGCTGATATTTCTCTCCAGGATGGAGTCACAGCCAAACAGGAACAGACCAGATGAAGCTACTATGAGAAAAAGCAGAGAGAGCAGAATGTTAGAGATTGAACTAACAGATTCTGCAGAGTGGGAGAATAGAGATAGAATGAAGCAGAATGATGAAAAAGGGGTCCCTATGTCCTCCAGCAGTCTAAGCCTATAGCAGCAGAACTATAGAGATATCTCAGGATAACCTGAGCCACTCTAACTAGAAGCTTTATCAAAAAGGAAAGTTTTAAGCCTAGCCTTAAAAGTAGACAGGGTGTCTGCCTCACGGACTAAAACTGGTAGTTGGTTCCACAGGAGAGGAGCCTGATAACTAAAAGATCTGCCTCCCATTCTACTTTTAGAAATTCTAGGAACCACTAGTAAACCTGCAGATTGAGAGCGAAGTGCTCTGTTAGGAACATAAGGAACAATCAGATCTCTGATATCAGATGGAGCTTGGCCATTTAAGGCTTTATATGTGAGAAGGAGGATTTTAAACTCTATTTGTTAAGTTGTAAGTAGCATACTGCGCATGTATGAGATGTAAGGAATGGGAGGCGGGGCTAGATCTGTGTTTTCTTCTTCATTCTGTGGGGTGATGAGCGCTGGAGCGCATGTTAACTGTTAATGGCGACCATTAAAGTGTGGATGTTAACGTCAGCAGTGTGATTATTGAGTCAAAACTATTCTGGATTTAACAGGAAGCCGATGAAGAGAAGCCAGGATTAACCAGTGAGGATTCTGAAGTGGTTTACTGGTGGAAATAACTAACCGGGTTTATGTTCTTCATTAGAAATAATTAACTTATTAAAATGATCTGTTTATAAATGGTATTCTTTTGTTTACACTAAATCATTGGTCTAATATTTGTTTTTATTTCTCATGCTTAGTTTCCACTTAGAAAAACAACCCAGAGTCAATTCTCTGAAAATAATAATTAAAAGCTTTTGAGTTCAAGTTGAAAACAATAATTTGCTTTATTTTGTCTTTATAAATTAATATATTTTGCGACTTATTATTTTGATAAGAATAAATTAGCAATAAGCCTGAAGGAATATCTGTAGTGGTTGTTTTTTTCCCCCCTTATAAAGGTTCAGTTTAGCAGCATTAGTTTGGGAAACAGAAGGAGAAAACAAAAAGATCCGCCCATCATCAAGGCATCTGAAGAATGTTGAATAATTATTGATCTTTGAATAAAAGCCAACCTTGTTTGGGGGCAGGTCTGTTTTCTAGGATGAATTATCTTGTTAATGCGTCTGATATTAGCTCAGTGACACTGAAAACACGCCAGCTCCTGTTATCTTACCCGTCCAATAATCCCTGCTTGTTCCACAGGCCCGGAGCCAAACACGTCGGCTTACTGCTTGTTATCGCTGCTAATAGATTTTTCCCCCAGTTAGCCTTCGATATTGATCTGTTTACGGTTTTTGTGGATGCCCTGCAGCACCTGGAGGCCCTGCTGCGTCAGATAAAGGAGATAGTGGAGAAGCACACAGACACTGAAGTTTTGGAGTCCTGCTCCAAGACGTACCACGCCCTCTGCAACGAGGAGTTCACCATCTTCAACAGGGTAGACATCGCTCGCTCCCAGCTGCTGGACGAGCTGGTGGACAAGTTCAGCCGGCTACTGGAGGACTTTCTACAAGAGGTAGGAACCTAAATGACCTTCTGTTGGTTTGGTTTCCTCTCCTTTGGGCTGGGATGAACTTTGACTTCACCAAGGATGATATAAGACCAGAAAGTTTGTTGAAGATGAATATCTAAGATCGCAATGCTGCCAATTTCTTCAGAAAGATAAACCCTTTAATGGGCAAGTTGGCGTTTTTGATCACTTCCATACCTCGCCCCCCGTCCCTCAGTGAGGTCTAGAAGGCAAGGCAAGGCAAATTTATTTGTATAGCACAATTCATTACAAAGACAATGCAAAGTGCTTTACATGATTAAAATACAGGGAAATAAAACAGAATCAAAGCAAGTAGGAAAAAAATAATGCAGAAACAAAAAAGAATATTAAAAACAGTTGGACTAAAAAAAATATGTTTTAGTTTAACTGTTTAACTAGAACAGTTGAAGGCAATCCTAAACAAATGTGTTTTTAGTCTTGATTTAAAGGAACTCAGGCTTTCTGCACTTTTACAGTTTTCTGGAAGTTTGTTCCAGATAAGTGGAGCATAGGAACTAAATGCTGCTTCTCCATGTTTAGTTCTGGTTCTAGGTCTGCAGAGCAGGCTGGAGCCAGAAGACCTGAGTGGTCTGGAGGGTTGATGCACTGATAGCAAGTCTGTGATGTATTTAGGTGCTAAGCCATTCAGAGATTTATAGACTAACAGAAGGATTTTAAAGTCTATTCTCTGAGATACAGGGAGCCAGTGGAAGGACTTTAGAACTGGGGTGATGTGCTCTACTTTCTTAGTCTTAGTGAGGACACGGGCAGCAGCGTTCTGGATCAGCTGCAGCTGTCTGATCCACTTTTTAGGCAGACCTGTGAAAACACCGTTGCAGTAATCAATTCGACTAAAAATAAACGCATGGATTAGTTTTTCCAGATCGTGTTGAGACATTAGTCCTTTAATCCTAACAATTATGTTTAGGTTTATAAACTAAAAAATGTAAGTACCAGTATCAGCATTAATGCCTCTAAGGTTATGTTGGACCAAAGAAAATTTGTGTTTTTCATGAAATTCTTGTAGAAACACTTTTATTTTACTTAATATATTCAGGCAAGTTGGCTTTTCTTTTTATTACATTGACATTAATTTTTGTCATCAAAATATCAAAATTTGTTGAATGTTACAAAGATAATAAACACTATTTTCTGGGAATGTAGATTTTCAAAGTATTTCACTGAGCGCCCTGTAAAGGGTTAAACCTGACCTCATAGCTCTTTGGGAGACTTTAAAATGAGATCTCTGTGAACCTCCAGGCTGGATTTTTGGTCTGCTGTTAAAATCACTTTTGCAAACTGTCTATAGGGTGAGGATGCCGATGAAGATGATGCTTATCAGGTTTTGTCGACTCTGAAGAGGATCACAGCGTTTCACAAGTACGAACTGCTCACCTTCTCTTTCCTCCTCCATTCTTTTATCTGTTTTTGGTTTTATTTTTTTTACTGAACTTCTGATGCACCTCATCGTTGCAGTGCCCACGACCTGTCAGGGTGGGACCTGTTTACCAGCAACTTCAAGCTACTCAACACGGGTATAGAGAACGGAGATATGCCTGAACAGGTAAAGGAACAGGCGTACCACTTAGCGCTGCCTGGAGGATTCATTCTGGTCTGTTTACTGTGGGGTCATTTCATAAGATGTCCGTCTGCAGCAAGACAGATAAGAGACGCATCAGAAATTCTGAACAGCATTCCCCCAGTAAACATGGTGTTGGCACCAGCATGCTGTGGGGATGTGTTCCTTCAGCAAAGACAGATCTAGGTTCAGTTATCAGCAGGTTAATAACCCAACAATGTGTTGGTTTAGATCTAATGAGGGACAAAAATCTATAGTTAGACGTCGGGCTGAAACGATTAATTGGATGAATCAATTATTGAGATAATCATCGACTCATTTAGTAATAGCTTAATCGTTAGCTGGAGAATAGAGGCTTTAAAATATGCCTTTAGATGACAGATCGACCCACTTAGAGCAGAAAATATACCAAGATTGTTGAAAACTTTAAAACATTTTGCGTTTAAGATAAAAAAAAATGCGTCCATCAGTTTTCTCTTTCCACAAATCCTCATGTGGAAAAGTTCTAGATTCATCTGGTTTAACTTGGTAAAGAATCTTCTTTAAGGAAACATTTTCTATCCAATTATTTATCGATTAGTCGAAAAAAAAATGGACAGATTAATTGATTAGCAAAATAATCATTAGTCTCAGGCCTAGTTATAGTTCCACCAAATTACCATGTTTTTCAAGTATTTCATTTTTTTTCTTTTTCTTTTTCCGTTTTAGCTGCTCAGCTGTGATATTTTTTAAAATATGAAAAGGTGTCTTTCTTTTTTTTTTTTTTTTTCCTGGTTTGTTTGAAGTATAGTTTAATTTTTGTAAGAACAATAAACCCCCAAACTTACAAATAAAAAAACAAAAACCTACACATCAAACAGCAAATGTGAAATACGAGACATGTTCAAATAGCTTAAATAGCCATAGCCACCGACATCGTCAGCATATTATACATGCTCAGCATGTCCATTTTAAGCGGTAGGCTCTGGAATAAAGGATATAAACCTTAAAATACTTAAGGAATGGTTCCCATAGATTTATAAACATTCCACTTCTGCCGGTCTCTGAGAGTCTGATCTTTTTCTAGTTTGAGAAAATAGAGGATGTCTCTAATCCAACACGTGTGTCAAGGTGGTACAGATGGTTTCCACTTCAAAACAATCGTCTCACCGAAAGGGTGGAAAAAACAAGAACATCTTTCTCATGCTGCGTTCGCACCGCACGCACTTTGAGCAGCAAAAAAAGCTTCTGCTGCTTCAATTCTGATGCTTTTTCTCATTAAGGTCAGACGTTCAGTAAAGTGAGTCCAGAAGCGTCTGATGCTTCTGTGTTCGATGCCAGAGAGCAGCTTTGCTATATTAGCTGTGATCAGCGGGTAGAAAGTAGTTAGAATCTATGTTGAAGTGAGAAAGTCCTCCTGAAAACACGGTCTGTGCAGTCAGTTCACTCATAAAAGCCAACATATTCTGCTGGCAGGTTTCTACATTTTAAGTTAATTTAGGCGTTAATAAACTGTTTCAGAGGAGTGATCATAGCGCTCTGCATCAGCAGTGCTGCGTCTGACTCCCTGCCAGCTCCCAGATCAGCTTCTCTCATTGGTTGACGCGGCGCGTCCAGCAGATAAATCAGAAGCTCAAGAGTCGCTGCTCCTGCTGCTCTAAACCAGCGACTTCAGCGCCTGGTGTGAACGCAGCATTTAAGCTGGTTTCTTTCGTGTGGATTTCTGTGATCATAAGGCAACTATTAGATTTTAGGGTGCTGTTTGTTCTGAATGAATCAGAATCTTACTGTCTTAACTTTGTGCCTCCTTGGTGAGCAGATAGTCATCCATTCGCTGCAGTGCACTCACTACGTCATCCTGTGGCAGCTGGCTAAGTTGTCCGAGGGCAGTTCAAGAAAGGTAAGGGCTTCAGCTTTCGATTCGCCGTGCTTCAATCGGGTTGCTTTGAAGCTCCATGTTAAAGAGGTGTGTCTGTTCTGCCTGCAGGATGACATGGTCAATCTTCGGAAGCAGATGAGGGCGTTTTGTATGATGTGCCAGCGCTACCTCACAAACGTCAACACGGCCGTCAAGGAACAGGTGACGCAGCTCATCGAATGCGATTGGTTAAAGAGGCGATGTCTGCAGGAACGCTGCTGGATTGAACTCTGCTTTTCCCTCCGATTCGCAGGCGTTCACCATCCTGTGCGACCTTCTGCTCATCTTCAGTCATCAGATGGTCTCAGGAGGCAGAGAACATCTGGAGCCTCTGGTCTATTCTCCAGAGGATTCCTTACAGTCCGAGCTGCTTTCCTTCATCCTCAACCACGTCTTCATAGACCAGGACGACGACACTAACAGCACTGGTACCAATAGAAACAAACCTGCATTTTTAGGTCGTATTTTTGCTTCCTGGGAGAGTTTGGAGATCGGTTTCTGTTTTGTTGTATTTCCAGACGGCCAGCAGGATGATGAGGCAGTGAAGATCGAAGCTCTGCACAAGAGGAGGAACCTCCTGGCTGCCTACTGTAAGCTCATCATCTACTGCGTGGTGGAAATGAGGACTGGAGCGGACATTTTCAAGCAGTACATGAGGGTCGGTTTTAGTTCTTTTAAATTAAACATCCATCCTGTGGGGGATTTCCAGACCAAAACCAAACTCAATTTTAATTTTTATTTTTCTCACAGTATTACAATGATTATGGTGACATCATCAAGGAGACCATGAGTAAGACGAGACAAATCGACAAGATCCAGTGTGCCAAGACGCTGATCCTCAGTCTGCAGCAGGTCGGTGAACCTTCGGCCTGACCCCGTCCCGCCAGCTTTCTGTCTCTGACCTCATATCGATGTTTGTGATTCTTTTGGTTCCAGCTGTTCAATGAAATGCTGTCAGAACTGGGTCACGGGTTCGACCGCTCCTCCTCCTCCTTCTGTGGGATCAAAGAGCTGGCCCGTCGCTTCTCTCTGACCTTCGGTTTGGATCAAGTGAAAACCAGGGACGCCATCGCCATGCTCCACAAGTAAGGCTGAATCCTGTCCTTAGACGACCTCGGGGAAATCCTCCATATCGGCTTTCCTCCTGCTTTTCCTTTACTCCCTGCTTGAACTATAGAAGTTATTTTATGTAACTTTAGATGCTGTTTACGAAGTGATTGGTAATCATTTTAATGTGTGTCTTGATTTTATGATCAGGTGGTTTTTAGACGGAGGGAAAGGAGTCATTTGCAGACTGTAAGCAGCTTGGTCATCATTTAAACAACGTTAACGCTCGATATCAGCTTCTGCTCAGAGCGCTGTCCCTCCCTCTCACACTGAGACACCTTCAAATGATGGATGCAGTTAAAAGAACTTTAAAACTAGAATATAAACTCTTGTTCTTGTAACACAGCCTCACCATTAGGAATGTAAACAAATACTACTTAGATTGCTGGTTTATTAGACTTGAAGTTGTTGAATTGACGTCAGCTTAGCATTTCTTTCAGTAATGTTTCTACCATCCACTAGAGGGCGACGCTGTTCATTATTAAGTGGAGGATTAGCAGTATTTGGGAAGTAATGCATAAATCAATCCACTGTTCAGGCCAGTATTATCAGAATGCAGACTTAACTTTATCTGGTTAGCGCTGGGCAATTAATTGCATTTGCAATATAATCGCAATTTAAGAAAATTAACTTTTGAAATTGCAGAGGAACTCAGTTTTATTCACAATTCATTTAACAAGATTAAGACACTGAATTTTTCCCTTGGGTGGCAGTAATAAAAATTAAAGTGCTGTCGCACAGAAGGGAACAGAGAGTTGCATCTATAGCACCTAGATCTATGCATTATAGTAGAAGTTGGAGCTTTTTCATCCAGATGTTACAGCAAAGTCCTGCAGCACTGCATTCTGGAAGAGCAGGCTTTCACGATCATGAAAAAACTGAAACCCCGGAGTAAAACATTGACTTACTTCTGCTTAGTGCAAAGGAAAATCGCAAAAAGATCTCAATATTGTTTGAAAATAATTCAGATTTTTGGTAAAATCGTTCATCCCTGATGTGGTTCTGTTAGTGAATATAAACCTTAAAATTCCTGAAATTCTATCACCTAAAAATCACCCATTTATCCTCCAGTTCAATCTGTTTTTTTTAATCATTTAGTTAGTATTTGATCCAGCTGACACAATAAATAGTTAAAATATAACGATATTTATGATTCCCCCCCAAATTAAGCGTGATGTAAAAAGTGGTCTGGATTTCACGCCGAGGACAACGAACAAAAAGCATTAATTTGTGAGACCAAAAACCATCGCTGCAAAAGGAAGCAGTACAAATTTATTCCACCACCTAAAGTCGTCGGCTACAAAAGGAAGATTGTTTTAAACTCTGCAGGTCAGCAGCTCCCTGCTCACCAATTAAAACGTTCAATAAATCGTCCGTGCAGCCGATGGCGTTTGAAAAAACGATTGCATAAGAGAGAAACAGGAAGAGATGGAGGGAAATGACACTTTTTATTACGTTATTTAAATGTTTATTAGTTGCTCTAATAATCTCGCTGTGATGTTATGAGGTTTTACCAGCGTTCTTAACTTGAAAATATTCTCAAATTTATAACTTTTCTTGCTTCTTTAAAATTCCCAGCTGGTAAAGATGCTAATAGTTTTGGAGACTCTCTGATTTTAGAGCAGTATTAAACTTTTGTTTTTTTAAGTTTAGGTTAATTCATTTTTTTCATCCTGCATTTATTTTTTTTATTATGCACTTAAGAGCCCTTTCTTTTTTCTTTTTTTTTTTTTTGCATTTTATTTAGTGTTGCGTGTTTTTGCTTTGTTTCCTGTTTGGTTTCTGGGATCTTGTTAAAGGTCTAATTCTGACACCCAGAGACATCATGTGGCAGAATTATTAGTGAAAACCTTTGAGCTGGTTAACATTAAATTACATTTGAAACCAAAAGTTTTAATGAAGATATCGGTACAATTTTATGCACTTTTTTAAATGTAATTTAATCATATTGTGATATATATTGTGTATGGTGATATAGCCCAAATACACTCGCCGGCCACTTTATTAGGTACACCTGTCCAACTGCTCGTTAACACTTAATTTCTAAGCAGCCAATCACATGGCAGCAACTCAGTGCATTTAGGCATGTAGACATGGTCAAGACAATCTCCTGCAGTTCAAAGCGAGCATCAGTATGGGGAAGAAAGGTGATTTGAGTGACTTTGAACGTGGCATGATTGTTGGTGCCAGAAGGGCTGGTCTGAGTATTTCAGAAACTGCTGATCTACTGGGATTTTCATGCACAACCATCTCTAGGGTTTACAGAGAATGGTCCGAAAAAGAAAAAACATCCAGTGAGCGGCAGTTCTGTGAGCGGAAATGCCTTGTTGATGCCAGAGGTCAGAGGAGAATGGCCAGACTGGTTGGAGCTGATAGAAGGGCAACAGTGACTCAAATAACCACCCGTTACAACCAAGGTGGGCAGAAGAGCATCTCTGAACGCACAGTACGTGGAACTTTGAGGCAGATGGGCTACAGCAGCAGAAGACCACACCGGGTGCCACTCCTTTCAGCTAAGAACAGGAAACTGAGGCTACAATTTGCACAAGCTCATGGAAATTGGACAATAGAAGATTGGAAAAACGTTGCCTGGTCTGATGAGTCTCGATTTCTGCTGCGACATTCGGATGGTAGGGTCAGAATTTGGCGTCTACAACATGAAAGCATGGATCCATCCTGCCTTGTATCAACGGTTCAGGCTGGTGGTGGTGGTGTCATGGTGTGGGGAATATTTTCTTGGCACTCTTTGGGCCCCTTGGTACCAATTGAGCATCGTTGCAACGCCACAGCCTACCTGAGTATTGTTGCTGACCATGTCCATCCCTTTATGACCACAATGTACCCAACTTCTGATGGCTACTTTCAGCAGGATAATGCGCCATGTCATAAAGCTGGAATCATCTCAGACTGGTTTCTTGAACATGACAATGAGTTCACTGTACTCAAATGGCCTCCACAGTCACCAGATCTCAATCCAATAGAGCATCTTTGGGATGTGGTGGAACGGGAGATTCGCATCATGGATGTGCAGCCGACAAATCTGCAGCAACTGTGTGATGCCATCATGTCAATATGGACCAAACTCCCTGAGGAATGCTTCCAGCACCTTGTTGAATCTATGCCACCAAGAATTGAGGCAGTTCTGAAGGCAAAGGGGGTCCAACCCGTTACTAGCATGGGGTACCTAATAAAGTGGCCGGTGAGTGTATATCGTGATATTAGGTTTTCTTCATATCGTGCAGCCCTAATAGGAGCGGCTCTTTCTTTGTGATCTTAAGCCACGGCTGCTAAATACGCTGATGCATCTGTTGTTCTGTCTCTTGGTTCCTATGTAGGGTGGAAAAGTTGGGAACCTTTTTAATTCTGGTTAAGGTCTTATTGTGGTACCGATGGGGTTTTTTACGTCCTTTTCTCCATCGGTGTGTTTCAATCATCCATTTATCTGTTTATTGCCAACTATCCACCTGCTTATTTAAAAGCTTGGCCTCTATATTGGCCAATTGTGTTTAATCTGCTGATATCCTCCAGAGACAGGATGTTTCCTAACGCTGCATCAACCCATCAGAGGATGACTTCCAACACATTTTTCCTTCTGCTACTCATTAATGTTTCTCTTAGAAACACCGGCTGGCATTTCAATGCGCTCCAGTACATTATCTAATAAATGTTACGAGTTAATAGGACAGCTGAGTCTTATAAAGTGGAAACACTGTGATCCTAAGGAGTGATAAAGGCCCAGATCGCTTCAATAAATGGAAAATTACAGCGAACTACATTTTAGAAGCAAAGTGTATAAAAAGGAGATGGTTCACAAGAAGTAAACCGGCTTCAGTAGATTTGCTTTGTTTGAGATGCTTAGAAATGTCTGGAATCCATGGTGGATGTAAATCGCTTCTAGGAAGAATGTGGAATAAACCATTTAATCTACATTTAAAACAAATAAAGATAAAAAGTGGTGACTTAATCATAAAAAGTTTGTATGTAAACTTGAGCTTAAACAGTCGGATTTCTTTACACTAATTTAGTAATTGATTAATCGTTACCAGGAGTATAGAGACTGTAAAACATTACAGAGCGACTCACTTAGAGCAGGAATTATACAGAGATTGTAAAACAATATATGAATATTTTATATTTAAGATTAACTCCTCAGCCAGAAAAGTTTTATTTCCACCTGGTTTAATTCTGTAAAATATCTTCTTCAAGGAACCTTTTCCTGTCCGATTATTAATCAATTCTATTCAGTTTATTTCTATAGCACCAATTCACATCAAGTCATCTCAGGTCACTTTATAGAGACAATTCATCCAGATCATCCAGTCAGATTGATTCAAAGTTTTCTATCTAAGGAAAACCAGCTGATTGCATCGACTCATTGACTCTTCAGCAATCCCTCACACTAAGCATGCTTGTAGCGACAGTGGAGAGGAAAAACTCCCTTTGAACAGGAAGAAACCTCCAGCAGAACCAGGCTCAGTGTGAGCGGCCATCTGCTGAGGCCCACTGGGGTTCAAGGAGACAGAAGCAGACATAGAAAAAGAAGCATAGATACATTTCATCGGAAACAAAATGAACAGAAAAACCCTTTATAGCGCAAGTTAGCATTTCTGATCCCTCGCATACCCCCCCGTCCCTCAGTGACGTCTAGAAGCACAAGATCTATATCCAGCGATTCAGCAAAGATGCTGCTACATGGCTGCACATCTTATTTTGGCATTTGACCAATTAGATGAGCCATTGAATGATAGATTACCTACTTTATAGTAAGTTAGGAAAAAAAGTTAACAAGTTAAGAAAAAAGGTAAAAAGCTAATTAAAAAGTTAACAATTAAATTTAGGTTTATAAACTAAAAACTTTCAGTGCCAGTATTAGCATTAATGCCTCTAAGGTTATGTTGGACCAAAAAAAAAAATGGTTTTTATCAATTTTTTCTAGAAGCACTTTTGTTATTTTTCGTAATAAATTTGGGCAAGTTGGCGTTTCTGTTTATTACATTGACTTTCAATTTTGCCATCGAAATATCCATATTTTTTGAATGTTCCAAAGGTAAAGGTCTCTGGATTCCAATAAGACTATTTTCTAGAAATGTAGAATTTCAAAGTATTTGACTGAGCACCCTATAAAGTTTTTACTTATCTAAATGTAGATGTAGATGCAGCTTTTTTGTTCTTTAATCAAGTCTTTATTTATTTCCTGTTTGTCCTTCAGGGATGGGATCGAGTTTGCATTTAAGGAGCCGAGTCCTCAGGGGGAGGGAGGACCTCCCCTTAACTTGGCGTTCTTGGACATCCTCAGCGAGTTCTCCTCCAAGCTGATGAGACAGGACAAAAGGACCGTGTAAGTGTTTGATGGCGTTCATCGCGCCGAACGTTTAGTAACACGCCCCAGAAATGCATTACAACAGCTGGCTTTATTTTATGGGCCTCACCACGGTCGGCCTCCTCCATCCCCTCTCGCATCTAGACATTGAGGGTTGAGGGTTGTCGAAGGGGGGGGTGTGCTGGCACCGTCTATCTCCTGGAGGGGGGGTGGAGTGTGCCGGACGCTTGCGGTTTTGCGCCGGGCGGCTTTTCTGCTCTCGGGCTGATTCTGTGCGCGATGTGTTTCGTTGCGCGCTGTTGGCATCGGTCTTGGTGGGGTGGGGCTGCGCTTTTGGCCGGGGGGGGGCGTTTTGGGGGGGTCCCGCGGCGCTCGCGGCCGGTTCGCGGCGGATGCGCATGGGCCCCGGCCGGGGGCGGGGCCGCCTGAGTGTTTTCCTGGGTGGTGCGGTCGCGGTGGGTTTTGCGGCCGGTCGCCGGGGCTTGGTGCTGGGGGGCGGGGCGTGTTTCGGTGCTCTGTGGGGCTGGGGCGTTTCGGTCGGCGCCGTGGGGGGGCTGGTGTTCGGTGCCCGGCCCTACTTCGGGGTGGCCGGCTGCCGGCGGGGCCCGCGGACTCGTCCCCGCGGCTCCCCGGGGCGCCGGCATGGCGGTGGCTGGGGGGCTTCTTCGTGGCTGTCTCTCCTCCTGCCTTGGTGGGGTCTGATTTCCGGGGCTGGCCCCGCCTTGGTGCCTTCGCTTCTGGGGTCCCCTTGGGCGCCTGGGGCTTTGGGTCTCCCGGCGCTGGACTCAGTGCTCTGGGGGGTGTGCCTCTCCGGCTCTCCACAACCACTATTGAGCATTTTTTCTATGGTTAAAACTTTACATGCACAAGTTCACCCTCACAAACAACTACAGGTGCTAGGCTCCAGGTACTCAGAGATTCACTTCCAAACAGAAACCCCACATTCATATCTTCAGGTAACACAGAGTACATGTCAGACTTAATAATATTACGTTAGCGATAGTTTCAAGGTGTTTGCTTTATTGTATATCTCGTACCATGTTTTTTGGTTGTGCTGTTCTTTTTTTTTTTTTTTTTTTTTTTTTTTTTTTCCATCTCATTACAGGTGTTGAAGCAGACTGAAAATGTTTTGTCATTGTCTCCCTCCTATCTCCTCTTTCTTTCATCTTTTGTCCTGTTTTTTTCTTTTTCCTTCTTCTTCTTCTGTTTTTCTGCTCTACTTACATTGCAGTGTCCATATGAACTGTAAAACTCCCTGCATAATTATAATAAAGCAATTTATATACATGAAACAAGTGGAGCAGTATGGCAATTGCGATACCGCTACACTTGTGAAAGTAAAATCTGTTGGGCTCCTTTTGGCATCAAGACAATTATTCTTATTGCCACATTGCCAGACAGGATACTGTAAAAAAAAAAAAAAAAAAAAGTGGGTCTGATGCACGGTGGGCGGAGCTACTCTATCCTTTCTTTACATGGAACAATGGCGGCTATATTAGCTGTAATCAGTGGGTAGAAAGTAGTTAGAATCTATGTTGAAGTGAGAAAGTCCTCCTGAAAACATGGTCTGTGCAGTCAGTTCATCCAGATTACCATCCTGCCTTCAAAGATTATTTCTCTGTGGGAGCTGCTCAGACCCCCACATACCGGCGCTGCGCTGTCACTGGAAATCCCCAGCAGCAGCTGCCTCAGGCCCGCTATGATCAGAGGAGTGATCATAGCGCTCTGCATCAGCAGTGCTGTGTCTGACTCCCTGCCAGCTCCCAGATCAGCTTCTCTGATTGGTTGATGTGGCGTCCAGCAGATAAAGTTCAATGTTTCCAGATTCAGCAGCTGCTGATTCTGAAGCGCGTCAGAAGCTCAAGAGTTGCTGCTCCTGCTGCGCCTTGATGCGCGCCAACCATTGACTGCATGTAAACCTGCTGCCTCTGCTGCTTCCTGTCTGAACGAAGCTTAAGGGTTTTCTGTTCGGTGCCATCAACATGTCTTCCCTGTTCTCACCAGCCACATGTACCTGGAGCGCTTCATGACGTTCCAGATGGCTCTGCAGCGTGAGGACTGCTGGCTGCCGCTCATTTCCTACAGGAACTCGCTGCAGGCGGGCGGCGATGACGACACCATGTCTGTGATGAGTGGCTACTCCAGCCGAGGCTCCTCGGTCCGCTCCAAGAAAGCGAAGCCGCCTGCGGTTACAGCCGGAACGTCGGCAGTGAAGAGGAAACTTCCGGAAGGTTTGTGTTCAGTAAAATGTTGATTTGGTTTGAAGACGCAGAGATTTTTTTTTTCTCCCCTGCTAACAAACGTATCCCTCCGCCTCGGTGGTTCCAGAGGAGAGCAGCAGCGGCGAGGTCTGGCAGCAGAGCATTCAGACCCCCGTCATGATGCCGTCCCCTCATCTCACCTCCACTGCCATGCGGGACCCTAAGAGGGGTCGTGATGACAGCTTCATGGGGGTCTACGCTCTTCCTCATGAGCAGCAGCCGCCGCCCCACCCTCACGCGCACCAACAGCATCATCCGCAGACGCCTCAGCACCACCAGACACCCATGGACTACAAGTATGGAGGAGAGCTCATCTTTTCAGTTGCTTGATTCTTTTTCCATCATTTAGGCCTTTTCTAGAGAACACTTTGCAGAGTTTCCCTCATATCCCACCTAATCCTTTGTGCTTTCTTAATCCATGACGCTCTCTCCTAATTTGTTCCATTGTGTCTCTTTTTCTCTGTCAGCTTTAATCCTTCCTCTCTGTGTCTTTTCCATCCTTGTGTGTTTTCCTCTACTTCTTCCCTACTGCACATCTAGGCTAATATGAGATTCTGACGGTATAAAAACACCTCTAGAAAAACATCACAGTATCATCATACAGCTCTGAAATTATTTTAGTATTTGTTAGCCTGCAATGCCCCATACCTGTCTATGTCTCTGAAAGAGGGTGGTTAGAGGGAATAGTTGGCCTGGCTGAATTGGCGAGGTGTTTCGGTCCCCTCTGTGGGGGTGGGGGTTTCGATGATAGCGGGAAGGAATCAACTCTATCGCTGTATGGTCAGGCCAGCAATTCCCTCTAATGACCCTCTTTCAGAGACATAGACGGGTATCGATGAAGAACTCAACATTCAAAGGGGTGGATCCGTTCTTCCGGTTTAATTTTCATTTCCACTCTATAAAGCCTGGAACTAAACACTATTTCTGACATTTTGAATTGAAAAAGTTTCCTGGATGGAAGAGAAACGTCTTCAAACTTGGAAACAAAGTCCAGTGGATTGTTTTTAACTTTTTTTGGAATGACCCTGACCTGGATGACTGAATCTTCACCAGCGTCATGACGATGAGCAGAATTGTCCAGGATGGATTTTATCCTGACCAGCATTCTGCTGTCAGAGAGTCCAGCTCCTCTCCGACATCCTGACTGGTCAGTCGGTGTCCTTCACCTTCAGTCTGACAGACTGGCCACAAAGACTCATAAAACATCTGCCGCATTGTCCAGCGGATGTTAAAGGACCTCAGCCACCTAGAGACAGCTCTGTCCCGTCCTGTAGAGGACAGTAGTGTTTTTAGTCAGGTCCAGTTTATTGTCCAACTGCACCCCTAAGTATTTATAATCCTCTACAGCAGAGGTCTTCAACAGGGGGATGCAGACATTCAGAGACACACAGGAGCTCTTTCAAGCTGGGCACCGTTTCATTCACAACACCTGTCCCATCAACCAGGAATCAGAAATACTTTAATAATCCCAGGGAGGGATTACTTTAGTTACATTACTCCATCTGTAATAGAGTGACTATAGGAGCAGTTTGATAAAACACTTATTTCAGGCAATATATAAATTAGGGGGTCCCCGCTCCATCTAGCCATCAGTTTGGGGTCCTTGGCCTGGAAAACATTGAAGACTCCAGGTCTAGAGGGTTCATGTTGACCCAACAGTCAACAGATAGTAATCTGTTGACTGTTGGGTCAACATGGGTCTATAGCTACGTTTACATGGACACAACTAATCGGATTGAAGGCCTGATCAGATCAAAAATGTTTCATGTAAACATGTCAGACTGAAGATTCTAATCCGATTCGGTCCGATCGGATCTAAATTTAATTCCGAAAGAGAGAGGTGGTTTTTGCCGATCGCCATTCTGATTGGCGTCCATGTAAACACCCATTCGGATCTTAAGAGTAAAATAATCTTCACTGCGCATGTGTGCGACGTCAGCGTGACGTTTTTCCGCCTTGTCAACAACAGGAAACCACCGGTCGCTCTCGCTCTCGCTGTGAACAACATGGCGGGAGGAGTCTAGGAACGCCGACTAATACACTCAAGTTCATTTAAAGCTGCAGGAAGCAGGGATTTATCCTCCTCCTCTTCCTCTTTTCTCTCTCCACAGCCCACTCGCTCTCCCACGCCGGTTCAATCTCTCATTCTCTACATTTTCTCTCGGACATTTCGCTGCCAAGCGCTTTTTTCCTCCTCTCTCCGTTTTTCTTTCCGCTCGCTCCGAGCGCATCGTTTGTCAGGCATCCCAAAAACCAGACGCAGACAGAACTGCCAAGTTTGGCAGGAAGTTCTGCGCATGCTTAAAAGATTTAATCTGATCCAACGCTTGGTACATGTATACACACGTCATGATCGGATCATTTCATTTAGTGTCCATGTAAACGGAGATTTTGAATTTCCGATCAACCAAGGTTTGGATCGGATCGGGGAAATTTTGCGCATGTAAACGTAGCTAGTGAGGTCTCACTCCTCCTCAGATCCACCAGCAGCTTCTTGGTTTTTGCCTCATTGGTTCTGCTCACACCAGGTAACAAAGTTGTCTTCCACACCCCTGTGCACCATCTCCTCACCATTGTAGGTTTAGTAAGTCTTTAGAGGGATTCGTGAAGGCTTTAAGGCGTGGATCAGAAACTCTGTTGTTTATTGTCAATAATCATCTAAATCAGGGTTTCAGCAGATCTTTAAAAGTCATTTAATTACAATTTTTTACATAAAGGCCTGAATTGGCACTAAAATTAATATTGTGACATTTAAACTGTTTTATTTCAAGAAAAAAACTAAAGTTTATAAAAAACAGTTTTGTCTGATATATCTCGATATATATGCGCAGAACTTCTTCTGGTTGATCGTAAAGCTTGAGGTGGAAAAAAATCTAGAGAACGGGAAAATCCTAATTTCAACAAAAAGGCTGGAAAATGAGGAATTCAGGACTTTGCTGCAGCCTGTCGACGGTAAAGATGAAGGATTTTGCCGTGTTTTTATATATATATAATGCGTGTGAGTCATGGGTACTTGTTGATGGCATTAAAATGATTTCTAATAGCATTAAAGAGCATTAAAATAGTCACTCATTCCTGTATAAACTGTCAATGGTCCGAATCGCGCTCAGCTTCCAATACGGCTGCAAACCAGGCGTGCAGAAAGCATCAGCTCAGTTTCTACGCTTCAGGCTTAGAAAAAGGAAAAATGTCCCAGTTCTGAATAGAATGCATTGCACTGAGGTTTTATTCATGAATTTCTGTCCCTTATTTTATTTATATTTTTGGATTTCTTATGAATAAGAATCTGGTGGAAATCTTTTGACTTCCCTTTTGCTCTACAGCAAACATCAGAGACAAACGGCAGACAAATCATCCCGGTTTGCTCGGTTTGAAGCTGTCACTCACTCTGTCGATCTAAGAGGACGACGCTGAGCTGACGGCGGATAACAGCCTGCAGGGGGGGGCGGGGCTTATTGAGAGGGATGCAGCCTGGAGCTGAAGGGGCTCTCATATCCGCTGCTGATTCTAGTTCTAACAGTAGACCCCTTCGCTTCTGTAACAAAAAAGCCTCAAACGTCACGTTTTATCTGAAAAGAGGCTTTTAAAAGGATTAGGAAAAACAACCGTAAGTTTTTATTATTAATACATCCAGGCTGCTGTCCAGGGCCGCGATCCAGACCAGCAGTTCTCTTCCTCTCTGGTTCTAACGGGCTTGAGCCAGGATGCATTAATGAAGCTTCACAGTAATTTTCCATTTGCTTGCTTTTAATTTTGAGGGCAAAACTGTTGTAAAATGTTTGAACTCCGCAGCTTGCCAAGTGTTAGCTCTGCTGGGAGAGTGGCTAACTGCTTGATTTATTCACCTCCACTCTGCACAGGCGCTGGGCCAAAGGGAAATGAAGCTGTCTGATGTTTTTAGTCTCCAGTTTAAAACTTTGCTCACATGGAGATGTTGTTTCTAGTTCCCAGGTGACGTGGATGTTGGCTCAGAGGCAGCAGGAAGAGGCGCGCCAGCAGCAGGAAAGAGCCATGAACTACGTGAAGCTCAGGACCAATCTGCAGCACGCTATGTAAGACAGAAACACGGCCGCCCGCCGAGACGCCGCTTCAGCCCGCTAACCTCCGTGCTTTTGCTTCCCGCAGTCGTCGGGGCACCGGGCTCATGGAGGAAGACGAGGAGCCGATCGTGGAGGATGTGATGATGTCGTCGGAGGGTCGGATGGACGACCTCAATGAAGGCATGGACTTTGACACCATGGACATTGATCTGGTAAGATTCATGGAAAGAAACGCCGCGTGGCGTCAGGACCGGTTTTATTTGTTTATACTTTATCACAGGAATCTTCACATGGTGAGACTTTGCTGCTTGATTATCGATTATTTTTTTGCTTCATATCCTTCGACTTCTCCAACACAGACAGTGAGGCGTTCCCTCTGCTGCTATAATCTTAAATAACCGCTGCTGGCTGTAAAATATCTGGAGTTCAGTCTTTCCATCTTGTTGCATCATAGTTTTGCAGCAGCTGATAACAGCAGGTTGCTTCTGATCGGTGCGTCTCTCACCACTTTACCTCCGTTTCTCTCCCTCATCTGGACCCCTGCTGGGATGCAGAAATGGACCGTTTAGTTTTGATGATCCAGTTTTTCTTTGGGGGCTTTATTACGTAACTGGAAGAAAGCATTATTTATTTAGGAACATTCCTGCATCAAGCTGTTCTCTTTTGCTTAATCGCTGGTTTTCCTAAACAAATATTTTAGAAGCTCAGTTTGTGTAAATTTAGGAAGCAGAGATTTTGGAGAATGTTTATTTTTATTTCTCCATTTTCATTTTTTCTCACTCTGTTAATTTTAACCCTAAATTTAATACCAACAAAATCTTAAAGACCAACAAACTTTAGTTGTTTTTAGCATCCTGAACATTTTCTTCTCTTTACTGCCACCTGCTGGTCAGGCAGGTCAGTGATCTGCAGCTCCTTTTTAAAAAGTAAAACAATGGCTTAAATTCAACCTAAATAACAATATGTGTCATTTTTAAAGCTTCTCTTTCTTTCATAAAAAGAAGTATTTTTTTCTAGGGCTGAAACTAATGATTATTTTGCACATTTTTTTTTTCAATTAGTTGATTAATAATCAGATAACTAAATATTCTTTAACCATGTAATGCCAAATGTATCGTATTTGATCCATACGGTTTCTGAAATGTTTTGCGTCTGACACCTGTTGCATAATTTAATGGTAAAAACTTTCCTCAAAATCCTATTGTACACAATCAGATATACCTGATAATAGCCAGTAGAAGACTACACAAAAAATAATCTTGACTTATCACATAGTAATAAATTATTAATATCAAAAATGAATTTCTGTTTTTTCTTTTTACATATTTTGTTAAAAGTGCAAAAAAGTAATTTTCTGTTTTGTTTTATTCTTGGATCGGGCTTTAAAGGGTCAAAGAAGACTTTTTATTAAATTAAACCAGCTGAAACTAAAACTTTTCCACAAAAAAAAACATTTTATTTTTTTATCTTAAATGCAAAATGTTTACAATCTTGGTATAATTCCTGCTCTAAGTGTGTCGCTCTGCCAGCTAAAGGCAGGTTTTACAGTCTCTATACTCCAGTTAAAGATTAATCGATTGAAATAATCGTCTACTAATTTAAGGATTTATTAATCCTATTAATTATTTGAACTCTTATTTTTTCCCAGTGTATTTTTAAACAGCTGTTATTTTATACAGTGCACACCGGCTCCTCTGCTCGTCAGTAAAAGCTTGTAGATGAGGGATCGTCTGTGTAGCGTGTTTGCAGTAGCAGCAGATGGATCAGGCTGCTGATAGCCGTACCACCGAATGCTCGCCATGAAACCACATCCAGGTCCTGGATAAATATTTATGCTGGATGGAGTTTTTTTTCCCAGATATCGTCTAAATCGATGCTGAATCCGTTTTCCTTTCAGACAGGATGGCTGAAGCAGAAGTTTTCTGGACTTTCCTTTCTAAAAACAGCCTTTTTTGTTGTTTTTTTTTTTTCTCTTTCAGCCGCCGTCTAAGAATCGCCGCGAGAGGTCTGAGCTCAAGCCGGACTACTTTGACCCTGCTTCAATTATGGACGAATCGGTAAGGAGCTCTTTGCTCTGCATTCATTCCCCCCCCTGGATTATTTAACAAACAAATCCCAGTGTTGTTATTAAGTGAGGTGACGCAGCTGGAATCAGTGGGTTGCAGATTAGGAAATCTGATTGGCTGATGTTCAACAAGTGATTTCGTGTTTTTTGGCCCCCGTCCTGGTGCCGAGCGACGCCCTGCGAATCCTTCAGAACGGCTCAGCTGACCGGTTTGTAGCCAAGTGCAACATTATTGGGGCTCCCAGAGCCGTGATTAATGTCAGCGTAAACAACCCTCAGACTGCAGGACCTGTCCTGACATTCCTGTTCCAGCTCGTCAGCGGCAGAAGACGCCCCGAGGACGTTATAGAATTTTCTGTACAGCGTCGCCTCTGTAACGCAGCGTGCAAACGTCTCAGGTCAGCTTTGAAACAATCAGAAAAACTGAGGAAAATCAAAGCAGAAAGCTGGTTTTCTTCACCAGCATATCTTTCTAAAATGCTCCCATTTAACAAAACAAACTAACTTTGTAGAACTGCATGCTTTTTAGAAAGTTTCCCACTGGCTTAACTGTTCCCATCAGCAGTGGCTGCAAGGAGAAACAGAAGATGAATGCAATCAGTTTAGAGGGGAACAAAGAGAAGCAAACAGTAACTGTGACCAAGTTTCTGCAGCCATGGAAGCTTTGCGGCATCTGTCCGCTGAAGTCAGGACTTTTTCTGTCATTTGAGCCTCAAACCAAAAAGTCAGAGAAGAATTTAACCCTGGAAACTCTTGTCAGTGTAGGTTACTGCTCCTCTGACTCCTAAACGAGTCAAAAGGTTTGATATTTGTGCCTTTTCACTTTCTTCATTAAAACCACAAACTTGAGGTTTTATGTTAACAGAGCAGCATAACAAGAAGTCTGCATCACAATCCGATATGTAACCTGCGACTGGAGAGAAACGCTGCAAAAACTGAAAACAAAAACTAAGCAGGCAAAGTAAATGATCTGCCGCAGCGTTTAGTAGCTTCGCTCTTCAGCCCGGCGGCTCCGGCACAGGACCGTACCGACACCTGCTCATGTTTATCTATTTATAGAAATGGGCAAAACACTCACATGGTGTTTCATCCACACGCCTTTCAAACGGTTTTATAGCCGTGTAACAAAGAAGATTTAAAATTCCACCTGACATGTCTGACTCTGCAGGATAAATGCAACATCAGGTATTCATATTTAGCCCCGCCCCCTAATGGCCGCCATCATTGGAAACTATAGGTTCAGACTTTTCCAACAAGGGGTCAGAGGTCATTGTGCGACCGTTTCAGGTGATGTAACCGGTAGGGATGCACGATATAATCGGCCCCCTATCGGTATCGGCCTTAAAACTGAATATCGGACATCGGCCACCCCACCGATATTTAACCCGATATTTGATCAGCTTCTGAGTTTCTAAAGTCTAAAAAAAAAAAAAAAAAAAAACTACTTCTTCTTCTTCCTCAAAAACTTATTTTTTACAGACTTAAAAACTTCTAAAGACGAGGGAAAAAATATTGATCCATTAAAATATCCCAATATCTTCATATGCTGATATATTGCCATTTAAAAACACCATATCAATCTCTTTTACTAATGAAATATTGCTATATGTCATCGTTATGCTACGAAATCCCCCGAAAAATTTACGAAATGATGCCATATTTTTATATGTTGATATATTGACGCGGTATCGATCTATTTTACTAACAAAATCTCACAAGAATTTGCAAAATATCACGAGAGTTTGTAACAAAACGATGAAATTTCACCAGATTTTGAAAGTAAAATAGATCGATACTGCGTTTTTAAAAATCAATTTGATATCAGCATATGAAAATATATTTGAGTATATTATTTTTCAAAGTGTCAGAAATATATAACAAAACTGCTATTTTCAATGACTACTTATTTTTGTCCAGCTTTAACATCGGTATCGATATCGGTTATCGGCTACATGAGTTTTAAAATATCGGATATCGGCCAAAATCCCAATATCGTGCATCCCTGGTAACCGGCATGCGTTACATTAGCTGCTCTGTTATTCTTATTTTCTGTTCAGTTTGGTGAAATTATTGGTAAATTTCAATGAACCAACGACTAAATCTGAGGAGCAAAGGCTTTGCTTCATGCAGAAGGTCTCCAATAATGGAAATCAGTATATTTGTCTGATCAGATTCCCTTTTATGAGCGGAAAAATGCACTTTTGTACGTTTGGCATTGAGCCCTAATCCCATTTCCTCCTAGCACCCTGCTCACTAAAACCTTTGTGGAACAAACATGCTTCAACTCTATAAAGTCTGAGGTTCATCCAGAGTTTCTAATGGGCTTTGCAATGTTTATTTTGGAAAAAAAATTTGGCAAGGCTAAAAAATTCTTTGTTTAATCACCAATAAATCAGACATGGTGACATTTAAAATAGTGATTCCACCTGAAAAATATTCCTCAGTGCCTTTCTGTCATACAAGTTCAAACAAAGTATTTCCACTTTATAGTTTGATAAATAGTTTGATAGTTAAAGTGGAAAGAGAGTAACTGTGTGTTTGTTTCTCCTAGGTCCTCGGAGTGTCCATGTTTTAAGCTAAACTCCAGAGGATTTCCGAGGCTGGGATTGCAGAAGAGGCGCTTTGTATTTAAAGAGAATTATTAGATGCAAAAACAGAAATGTTTTCTGTAAGAAAATAAAAATAAAACAAGAAAAAAAAAAACACACATTCTGGCTTGTACTCCACGTGGACCAATGACAACCCACACTCAGTGTTGCTTGCTCAGAGAGGACTTTGTTTCAGAAAAACTTTACTTTTCTAATGTTGGGTGAGCTCTTCCTGTTCCAAGCTAGCATAAACAGGCCACTTCCAAAACCTATTAGACGCATCGGAAGAAAAATCTATAGCTTTTCTTCTTCTTCCTTCTTTTTTAAAAAACATGGGGATGAATTGGTGTGTTTTAACTTAAGAAACCTTTTTTTTTTATGTCTAACCCTTTTTACAATTGTAGTAAGTTACCAGGTGTGAAGTAGTAATTTATAAACAGACTGTAGTAGCTTGCTTGTACTGTGTTAGCCAAGTGGATGGAGGTCTTTCTTTTTGTGCTTTTTTTTTTTCCTCCCCTGTTTTTGTTAATAAGTTTGTTCTCCTCTATTGGCTTTGGGTTTTTTTCTCCCTGTTGGCTCTGAGTGGAGGTCCTGATAACCACTGGTGGTTAAAACGTCGCCTAGAATGGCTCTAGATCCCGTTATGCTGTGAAGTCCGGCTCATGTTACTCCCTAATGAACAATCAGAGGTTTGGAAACGACGCATCTTCTCCAGCATTTAAGGTTTATTCAACAAAACTCCCCTTTCCTCCCCAAATTCCCACAGCATAATGTTAAAAATATCTGCGATTTAAATAAAAGTTATATATGAATCGGTGCTGATTTTTATATATGTGCTTTTCTTTTTTTTTTTTTTTTTTCAATCTTAAGTCAGAAAGTTTGAGAAATGTATAAGTAAAACTTAAAAAAAAAAATGAAAGCATGTGCAGCCATGCATCAAGGAAGATTTTTAAATTTGTATTTTTAAGTTCCTATTCTTATTTTTTTCTCTTCTTTGTCTTGATACCGTCTTTGAATTTCTACCTTTTTTCCTACGTGTAAATTAGTTTGGATATAACTAATGAAAAAGAACTTGTGAAATTCAGCTTTAAGAATTTTTTCTCGGCATTGAAAACTCCTGTCACTAATAAAACAACATAAAAAAGAATAAAAAAAAAAAGCTTTTAGATTTCCAAATGTTTGAAAGCCTGTAAGGTTAGTCACTCAGACAGTACTGAAGTCCCACGTTATTCAGCAGCGCCGTGGCAGCTAGACGAAAAGCTCGGCTTTTGACGTGTCACAAGTTTCCTGAAATGTTTTGTCTACTGAGGTCTTTTATTTTGTAGTCATTCCATGCTTAAGCCTTAACAACATGCTCGTGGAGGTCGCCCTCTCTCACAGTAATCTTCCATGTCCGAGGTGGATAATTGGCTCTTAGAACATGAAATATGAGGTGGTCGGATGTAATGTGATAAAGTAGATAAACAGCCTATATGTGTTTTTTGCCTAATTATTTTATGTAAGTAAACAAAAATTCTTTTAAGGAAAAAAAAAAAAAGTACTGTTTATTGTTTGTTACTTACCACTACATCGGTATAAATCCTTATTAGATCATGTGTATATATATAAAACGTCATTTCTCTCCTTGCTTTTGGACATTTCTGTTTTATTCTCCTGCACTCTTGAGTTATTGTCCATTATCTCCCTCATCTTTTCAGTCACTCTGTTTTCTGATTTGTACTTGTCTGGAGACAGTAACTTTTGAAATAAAAATCAACACATTTCTTCTGTGGTACATTTTTCCTTTTTTTGTTGTTTTTCCCAGTCTGCTGCTGGTTCCACTGGTTGGAACTTTGGCTGCTTTCAGTGGGATTCCTAACAAACTCCCAATTTAGAATATCTGGATTATTTTAAGTCAATAAAAGTCAGAAATATAGTTGTGTTCATAATAAAGGCTCCACACCTTTAACTAAGCTGTTTTTACTAACAAATAGGAAACATCTAATTAAAAATCTACAATTCCATTCAGTTTATTTCTATAGCTCCAATTCACATCATGTCATCTCAGGTCACTTTATAGATCCAGATCATCCAGAGAGATTGATTGAAAGTTTTCTATCTAAGGAAAACCAGCTGATTGCATCGACTCATTGACTCTTCAGCAATCCCTCACACTAAGCATGCTTGTAGCGACAGTGGAGAGGAAAAACTCCCTTTGAAGAGGAAGAAACCTCCAGCAGAACCAGGCTCAGTGTGAGCGGCCATCTGCTGAGGCCCACTGGGGTTCAAGGAGACAGAAGCAGACATAGAAAAAGAAGCATAGATGCATTTCATCGGAAACATAATGAACAGAAAAGGCATTTATAGCGCAAGTTAGCATTTCTGATCCCTTGCATACCCCTTACAAATGGAGTTCCCCCGTCCCTCAGTGAGGTCTAGAAGCACAAGATCTATATCCAGCCATTCTGCAAAGATGCTGCTACATGGTTGTTAATCTTATTTTGGCATTTCACCAATTAGATTAGCCCTTGAATGATAGATTACCTACTGTAAATTAAGTTGGAAAAAAAGGTAAAAAGCTAATTGTAAAGTAAAAAAGTTAATAAGCCTTGTTAACAAATTTAGGTTTATAAACTAACTGACTGGGAGTCATATAATGGAGGAATAAAAACCAACAGTAGTGACGAATATAGCAGGAGACTCTCAGCACTAAAACCATCTAAATGCTGGTTTTAGTGCGTCTGGATTATTGCAAACATACAGAAGAACAAACTTTGATCTAAAATTGGAAGGAAAGCAGAAATGCAGTGAAATGTTGAATCATCATATTAGATGTTTCTCCTTTTATTCTGTCTGATCTTATTAGTTAGCAGAGATCACTTTGCATCGTCTGAACTCTAAAGTTAATCTCAGTGGACAAAGTACTCAACAGTAGTGCTTTAGAGAAAGTATTCATTCTCATTGTCGAATCTTGACTATAGGAAAAAGTTAGTACTTAAGTTTCAGTATTAAGGTACTCACATTTGAAAATACTTCAATATTTGAAAGTAAATGGATATAATAGTACTTAAGTATTGAAAAATACTTAAATGTTCTAGTATCAGTATATTTCTGTGAATTTTCAGAGTAATTTTAAAGAACCTGCAACTTTCAGAAACCACTTGATGTATTGATGCGTAGAACCACCTGCTCTAGATTCTACACCACCTAAAAGGAAGTTTTTATGGCATAAAAATACCTGAAAAGAAATTAAAGACGACCATTTTTTATTCTTATTTAAAAACAAACCAAAAAGAAAACAGGAGTCTTGATTTTCGTCATTCTTTCACTGGAATAGAGAAACTATAACTGATCAAAGTCATCCTGATGAACGACTTGGCACCATGGCAACAACTAACGCCTTAATAAAACAATAAACTACTAATATCTGATCTGAGTTTCTCATCAAATCTCTAAATCAGTGGCGTCCAGATTCCGTCCTAAAGCTGCTATCCGCCATGATGGAACTACATTTAAAAAGGAACAAGGAGCTTCTTGGAAATGGAGGGAAGTGAAAGTTAACTTTAGAACAAGTACTTTGTTACCTTCCAGCTCTGGTTAAACCTCGTGCTAAACAGGAAGCTCAACTGGCCTGAAACCCTAAAAGGTACGTTTAGTTCTCCACAACCAGAGGCGAGTCAAAGGAAACTGATCACTGATGGATCCCAGAATTTAACTCAAAAGATGGGAAGAAGAAATGTTCAAAAGGCTACATTTCTTTTTCTTTTTTTTTAACAGCATCCTGTCTGGCAATGCAGCAATAAGAATAATAGTTTTGATGCCAAAAAGATCCCAACAGATTTTACATTCACAAGAGGAGCAGTACTGCTATCGCCATAGTGTTCCGCTTGATTTATGCATAGAAATAACTTTATTATAATTCATGCAGGGAGTTTTACAGATTATATGGACGCTGAAATGTAAGTAGAACAGGAAAGAAAAAACAGAAATTCATTCTGCTTCATCAGCTGCAAAGAGATGTAAAAAGAACAGCACAACCAACGGATATAGAATAAGAGATACAATAAAGTAACACATTGATACTATTGCTGAAGTATAAGTGGTATTATTTATTATGACATGGAGGCTGCAAAAGGCTACAATTCTTGATACCATAAAATTCCGTAAAAGTTTTTTTTTAAAGTTCCAAGATTTGAAGACGTTTCTCCACCTCTCCAGGAAGCTTTCTCAATTCTAATGTCTGGATCCGCAGTGAGTTTGAGTCTTTATATAGACAAGGCCTTGTATCGCTTGGAAACATGCAAATAGAAACCGATGAATGGGTCGTTTGGTTCCATTGTTAGCCTGAAATACAGGCGAACAATGGAAAGCTTCCTGGAGAGGTGGAGAAACATCTTCAAATCTTGAAAACCAAGTCCAGTGGATATTTTTTTTTACTTTTACGGAATGACCTGGATGACTGAGAATCTTCATCAGCATAGATACCATTAAAACTATGTAAAGGTAACAGAGGACGTCTCTCTTTGTTTTTCATTTAAAAAAAGTTTTTAATATGTTTAATAATGCATATTTTACTTAAATAGATTTTTCTACAGCTGTCTATAAGTTTAATACACAAGAAGGCTGTAGTAGAATTAGAGGTAAGAGTCAGCGGTGGAACGTAACAAATTCCCTTTAGGACAAACTTTCACTATAACTTCCCTTCATTTCAAGAAGATCCTTGTTCCTTTTTAAATGTAGTTCCATCATGGCGGATAGCAGCTTTAGGACGGAAGCTGGACGCCACTGATTTAGAGATTTAATGACGTTCCACCAATGAGAGAAACTCAGAGCAGATAATTTTAGTAGTTTATAAATATTATTAAGGCGTTAGTTGTTGCCATGGTGCCAAGTTGTTCAGCAGGATGATTCTGATCAGTTATAGTTTCTCTATTCCACATCGACAGAATGAAGAAAATCAAGACTTCTGTTTTCTTTTTGGTTTGTTTTTTAATAAAAATTAAGAATCAAAGTTTTTGTCCTTTTGTGGCATTTTTATGTCGAAGTTCTTTCCAGGTGGTGTAGAATCTAGAGCAGGTGGTTCTACGCATCAATACATCAGGTGGTTTCTGAAAGCTGCAGGTTTTTTAAAATTACTCTGATATTAACTGATATTAGAAAATTTATTAGTATTTTTAAATACCTAAGTACTTTAAAATGCACGTACCTTTGAATACTGAAGTATTTTTAACAGTGAGTACTTTGATACTTTAATCTGAGTAGATTATTGATTAGAGTAATTGAAATTTATTGAATCTCACCTTGGAGGAATTCCCTTTCTGTATTGAACCCCTCCCCTTAGGGAGCTGTGGGCTGCCATGGTGTGGCTCCCAGGGAGCAGGGTGAGGTTAAGGGTCTTGCTCAGGGACCAAAAGTGGCAGGCTGTGGGGATCAAACTGGGTTCTTGCAACTTTCTCAGAGCACAGAGCACTAACACTCCCCCAATTATTATGGACTAAGTTACTTTTACTTGTAGTTGAGTAATGTTTCACTAGAGTATCAATACTTTTACTCAAGTACTACTGTTGAGTACTTTGTCTACCTCTGATCAGTTGGTACAAATCACCTGATTCTGATTTCCAGACACCTTTCTGTTAAATGTTCCACCTTCAAAGCTAACATTTTAATTCCTGAGCATAAATATGGCCCCTAAATAGATCTATAACAGAGTGGAATGAGAAATAATTGGTGAGATTCAGATCTTAGATGTTTGTCAGAACAGTTCTGGTGTTTTTGGAGGAGGGAGTTTGAGAACATGCTGTCCTGCATCTCTTCTAACATTCCTGAATCTAAATCTCCTCATTCAGCTCAGCAGAGGATTGCTCTGATTCAGGCGTGTTAAAAACAGGAGGCATCAAAAAGTTGCAGGATAGAAGCTCCGCTGCTCAGGTGTAATTTACAATCTGGACACAAGGAGGCAGTGCTCTCCAAGCCAGGGTTCCAGTGACATTCATAGATGATGTTCCTCCTAATTCATATATCTTTCTCATTTTTGTTCAAATCTGCTTTCATGCTCCCAATCTGGGTCTGAAAGTGGCCTTTTGTCAGGAATGAAGCTTTGTGGTGCTCAGATACAGAAAGCCGTAGTTCTCTGATAAAAGTGAGCTCATGAGGTGGCAGAAGAAAAGATAAAAGCTGCAGGGACTTTCTTTTTTTTTAAGCGCATGATTAATCCAGAGCTCCTCAGATCAATGCAGGAGCAGCAGAATGGAGCCTGGCAGAAAGCTCCCCTTCATGTTTCATGTGCAGCTCAGAACACATGAAGGGTTCCTGTCTATCACCGCATCAGGTTGCCTGTCACGTGTGTGCTGTCGCCTCACCAGAGCTGCAGAAAGGCATTTCCCTCTGCAGCTCGCTTTGGTTTGTGCTTTGAGCTGTCGGTTCGTTTCTGTGACATCCTAGCATTTGCTGTTGAACCAGTTTTCTGAATGTCTGTTGCCTCTATGCCAAAAGTTTATTTTTCTCCACAGCTTTTGTTTCTGTTGCCTGTTTCCAAGTTTTGGTTTGGAGAACTTGGGTTAGATTGTGCAGCTGAGGTCAGGGCTGCTGGGTTTAAATCCCAACCAGTTTATATTTACCTGTGATAACCCAGAGGCCCTTCACATTCACATTATCAGCTCAACTTGTGTTGAAGGTTCAGAGGCTTAAAGTGGAAATGCATCCTGGATAATTATCGGGATGGTGTTTCATTTAAAATACATACAGTACGCCGTAAAAGTATCTATAACCACGTTTTATGGACATT